CAGTATACTGGCGATACGTCTTTAAAGAGTTAAGAACTACCATCCTCTATTCTCTGAGTGTGTCTTAGCCATGTCAGCCTTTGAAGATTTACAACATTTTTTGCCTTTCCAATGCACAGGATATTATTCATGCCGGATAATTTGGGCAAAGTGCGCTAAATAAAGTTTATAAAGGACAGATGTGGCAGGTGTGGGTACCAAGCATAAATATAACTTTTGTACAGGAACTTACATGGGTTTACTGTTCAGGTCACCTAAGGTACGAAATGAACAAGTCAAAATTGAAAATGCCAGTACTGGAAGAACATTTGACAGGAATTTCTCGAGATTTTGAGGGAAACCAAGTTTTAATAGACGGACAAAATCATATCATGGGTCAGTCCCACTGGATCATACAAACTATTCTACACACATGGCTCTCAAACATGGAGTACACGATGAGAAAAAGCTTTTTGAGAACCGTCTTACAATGAAACTTTGCACCCATAAAAGATGCACAGAAGAGAATGGAGAGTGGGAAGCAAAAATGAAATTCATATTCTGTTTAAATTACACTGATTACCAACATCATAATTAACAATAGACTGCAATAGTTGGGGCACAGATAAAGAATGGTGGACAAAAACTGTGCACACAAAGGGGGTTGAATGGAGATAGACCATGAGACAGACCAAGAAGGTAGTGGGGAGATGACATACAGGCAGGCCTAAAAACACTTGGAATCTCCAACTTGGAAAAGAAGGTCAATCACAAAGATGAATGGAGTTGGGTAGTATTTGCAGCAATAAACATCAGAACTCAGAATAGTGACAAAGAAGACACCCATTTCATTTGAAAAGAAACTATGTGGAGATGTCAACAACCTCTTTCTTAAAATTTATTTATATTAACATTTGAAAGTATACAAACAAGAAGAAGGATCATGAAATGTGCAGATTACAAGATACCATATAAATACTGCTCTATTATAAAATAAAATACACATTACAAATACTGCAAATAAACATTTTTAACATGTCAAGTTTACGTATAAATCACACCACCTTTTTGGGGAGCAAGATTTCATGGCCTTTCCCAAGGGCTGTCCTATGTTCTAGGGGTGTGATGAGTTACCTTCCTTCCCCGTCTATTCACACTGTGGCGAAAAAGGACTCGCATTCGTTCAACGGGGTCAACGCACTGTCTCCCAAACAAAACTGCACAGCTTTCTTTTTTGCAGATCACTTATCTGTGAACGATTGTCATGTTCGAATGTGTTATTGATATGATTAGGTCTCAGGCACTGAAGGGGCCTGTGTACAAGGAAGAAGTACTGCAGGGGAAGTACAGAAGGTGTGACTCTTTGTGATTATTGAATCATTGATGTTTTTGTATTTGTACGCTGTCATCGGTGGTGGATGTGCTTGAAATGGTTAAAACGAGGAACAGATGACACATCTAGACTGTAGGAGTGTCCCGGAAATCCCCTGCAAAATCATGCGGCCAATGAGATGGGGTGACTTTCCTGAGTTGTACCTAGTTTATTATATGACACAACAATAAAGTCCTTAATAACAAATTTCATATTAAATATATTTTTGTATGCATCTATGCATCCAGGTAATCATTAATAAATATATACACAACTTTATATTAGCATTTCCTTCCACAAGAGACACTTCCATAACCACACATGTGAAAAAACATTTGTTTTATCATTTATTTATATTCATGACTGAATAAATACATACAAGACTTTATATAGCAGTTCCCTCCATGAGCAAAACTTACACAACTACACATGTGAACAAAAACATTTGTTTTATCATTTATTTATATTGATGACTGAATAAATACATATAAGTTTATATAGCATTTCCTTCCATTAGCGACACTTCCACAACCACACATGTGAACCAATACATTTGTTTTATCATTTATTTATGATTGCCATGATGTTAAACAGGCAGAGTCAGATCTTCTTCTTCAGCCACCTCTGGTCATCTGCCTAATCAAATGGTGACCATTAACTGGGATGTTATCTCAAGGTCTCTTAGTTTCCCCAAAACTTAGTTGTTAGGTCTACTGGGTGTGGCTGTGTGTTGTTTCACAGCTCCGCTCCTCCAGGAGAGGACAGTCCTGCAAGACATGTTTTATAGTCTGCCCAGCACTAAGAAACTGACAGAAAGAAGTGTCCAGTGTGTAAGTGAAAAAAACTGACTTCTGTTCAGTTTAGATGATTGAGAAAATCCTTTTCATGGTTTCAACTATGTTTTCTTATCTGTTTCTGATTTTCTCTTAATGAGGATTTTTACTCCTGAAAAAGATAGTGGCTAGTAGGTTTGTTGTTTGCTGCTGCTTTCCTTTGCTAAAATGTCAGCGCTTTTATTGCCTTTGATGCCAGTGAGATGGAATCCACTGCAAGTGAGTTTCTACTTTTTTTGATAACTCAGCAAGTTTTTTTGTTAGTCTGTAGTGTGCTGCCAGTAATTTTGGCCTCTAGAACTTGTATGGCTGACAGGGAATCTGTGAGAAAAACCAACCTGCCTGCAAGGGTTTGGAGCTTGATCAAATACTGTGCTGCCATCAGTAGGGCTGAGAGTTCTGCCTTCTAGTTAGAGCAAGTTCGTCCGGCGGGGACTGCCAGGTACACAGTAGTGGCTTCTGGGTGTTCAGAGTAAACACCTGCTCCAGATATATATATATATATATATATATATATATATATATATATATATATATATATATATATATATATATATATATATATATATATATATATATATATATATATATATATATATATATATATATATATATATATATATATATATATATATATATATATATATATATATATATATATATATATATATATATATATATATAAAATTGTCCTTTTTTAATGGCACAAGATATACTGAATATATGGTGATAGTTCCGTATTTTCAAACCAATCAGCATTCAATGGGTCATGTGGTCAACATCCATCTTTACTACCCAGAAAATTTCCCCACTCCCATTTTGAGATTGTATCTACTTGGATTTCTGGGTCTGTGAAAAAAATCTCAGGTGGATCTGAGCACATGGTAACCAAGCCAGTGTGCTAGCAGCTACTGCAACACAGCTTTCTCTCTCTCTCTCTCTTATACATATATCTACTGCAAACAAGTGTCAGAAATAAAAACATCTGGATCATGCAGCAACACTTCATTTCTCACAACCTTTATTAGAATAAACAGTAACAGAAATAAGCTGTGAAAGTTTATGTTCAAACTGTTGAATATCTTTAAGTTTGTTTTTGCTGAACCTGCTTAGTATTCTTAAATTCTGTGTCACAAACCTAACTTCAACAGCATCAACCTGGCATGCAGAGCACTTGATGACAGAGTCAGTGTTCCTATAGGAAAACACTTTACTCAGCACTGCAAGCAACTACAGTCCAACAAGGTCAGGTCTCTGATGAATCTCAGTATTGCAAGCAATTACAGCCCAACAATGTTGGATCTCTGCTTAATCAAATTGGCCAGCAGACTGTTCTCCAATGGATCTTAGAATACTGCAACATTACAGTTGTTTTTTGCCCTTTAGCAAGCTGAAATCTTGACACCAGTTCTATTTCAGAAAATGAATTAAAAGGACAGTTTTTCCACCTCTGGCATATATTGGCAAAAATCTGCCTTGATGTGGATTTGAACCTCAGACTTTCAAGCCGGCAGGCTGGCGCCTATTACATAAGGGAGGTCAGGCCTATTGAGACAATGGAATGAAAGAAAATGGAAATATATACATAAGCTTCAACATATAACAAAAGACAAACACATAAACTGTAAACTTGCTACACCAGAAGTCTAACCTGTTTATTTCATGATTGAATAATTCCTTAAACAAAAAGCAAACATGTGATCGAGTTTACAAAGTAAATCTTTTAACATAAAAAATGCAAATGGGTATTCCTTAAGACCACTAAAATAGCATGAGAAATATACATACATTAATACTGACTGATAGTGACAGATAAAAAGGAAAGAAAAAGATATCAATCGAAACATTAGTCAGTTTAACAGCTGAAATATTGGGTACTTCAGGGCTCACATTCACTGCCTTCAAATGACGATAAACTCATGGGAAGGAACAAGTTTACTTCAACAAACAGGTAACTAACTAGTAATACAGACACTGATAAAGACTTTATCATTACCCAGTTCCATCATCAACCTGAATCCACAACTATGGATTATGGTAAAAAAACTCTCGACTATCCTATAAACTTAATATATTTATATTAACAAAGCAGAAATCAATTAACAAAAATTTCCTTTAATTTACCTCTACAAGTATGATAACGTAAAGGTTAATTTGTCAGCAAACAGTCTGATCTTCAAATACACTATTACTATGCTGAATCTACCTAACGGCCACCGTATATATCCACTCAGCTAGGAAATACACAGAATAACTACAGCTTTCTGAGTCACAATCTCTCAAGTAAATTTATCAGGTCATGTTGTGAGAATCTTTCAAAGAAACAAGTGTCAATGTATACTCATTTTTTAAAAGGTTTTCCAATGAAAAGTCGAGTCTATACTCATTGCTTACCTCACAACCACAGCTTTTAAATTAATGCAATTGTTTTGGTTTCTTATGCACAATTAGGATTAGTTCTGACTTATTTATAAATGTCCAGTGAGATGGTGAGGACACAAAGGAAGCTGGAGTAAATGACAAAAGATCAGAGGACCTGTTTGAAAACATGTGTTCTACTTGGGAATAACAGCAGAATAAAGAAGAAGAAGGAAAAGAAGAAGAATAAATTAATTTAACATATATGGAATAAAGAACCACCACACAAGAGGTACAAACGGAATATTCTGTAATAGAGAACCAAAAATAAAATTTAAAAAACTCACAAAAACAGGGGAAACAAAGTACACACGTAACCACACATTCATGTTAATTCCTGTTTCTAATAAATTATGTCAGACTGAAAATTGCTGTGTTTTCTATTGTGATAGCAAGCATTATGATTTCTTGAACCAGTACTTTGCTGATGTAAGTGCTGAGCTGAAAGTCTGGAGCAATGAATGACTAGAACGTGCTTGTAGTAGAAGTGAGCCAGCTTCTGCCTCTGCACCTGCTTCATGTAGCTGGGAGGCAATCTCAGAAGGTGATGCATACTCTGGACAAGTTGGCAATGCCTGGCAATTGAGCACATAGGAAATAAGATGAGAGAATACAGGCATTGACACCACTCTTGAACTGAGCTTGCGGCTTAAAATCAGTTTCAGCAGATCTTCTTCAGTTATGCCCTGTTGAAGAAAAATAAGCAAGCAAATGTGTGAATCTGGTAACAGAGTGGTTCAATGGCATAATAAATTCTCATTTGGTGACAGAAACAGATGTACTCATTATAACTTGAACACATTTTCAATACCATCAGGATCATTTAGCAGGTCATTAACAGAACAGCACTGCCATTATAGCATGACTTTAAGAAATTGTCACTTGTCAGATCTCCTGCTTCATGCTCTCTGCTACCTGTGATGAGGTACTTTGCATGGGCTCCACGCGTACATTGTGGTAAGCAGAAAGTCCGTGCTACAAGTGACAGCATGAGATACTTGGGGCTGGTCGAGTAAGCGATGAACTTTGGCTAAGCAACGTATCTGCTTTTGCCACGATTCAGCTTTATATGATTACTGCAACATATCTTCTTGCACTGCTCTCACGTCTAGGACTGATAACACAAATGCCGCTCAGCTTCCTTGTACATGCTGTCAGTTTATTCTGTTGCATTTATTTAACATGCTCCAACTATTACTCACCCTTCCATCGTTGCGACATATTCAAACACTGGTCATTCACACGACATAAGAACTACATCTTCTATTAACACAACTGTCTTCTACGACTTCTGGTAAGCAACTCACCACGAGTCCAGCTCGGGCTTTCCCTCGCTTACTCGACCAGCCCCAAGTATCTCGTGCTGTCACTTGTAGCACGGACTTTCTGCTTGCCACAATGTACGCGTGGAGCCCATGCAAAGCACCTCTTTACACTACCCAAGGCATCTCTTATGTCTTGTGCACATCTCTGTGTGCTGGTCGGCCCCTGCCACTCTTACCGAGTACTATGCCCTCTGCTATTGTTATTTCCAATCCTCTGTGGCACTTGATATGGGCAAAGTATTTAGTTTCCAAGAATTTTCAGTACCAGTTGGGCCGAAAGGTGCAAATATTTCAGGGTATCTGTAAACTATACATGACATCTGCTTTTACATGAGCTTTTAATGGTGAGCGCAAAAGAGGAAGACTTATACTGGACCACAATATTAACTCTTTCGGTCCCTAACAATTATTTTTCCAACCCATCTACCCAAGGAGGGAGCCTAAAAGCATTAATCACTAAGGCCTGAAAGAGTTCAACAGAGACGTTATGGGACGAAAGTAGTAAAACTAATAATTCAGATACAAGGGTGCCACCTTGCTAAACACACACAGCTGAGTACCTGAATGCTAACCACTATAACTAAACACAATGAACTATCTCTAACACCGGCGTTACACAGCCTACTAACACTTGAAATATACTACCATCAGTCTAGCACATTACCACTGCTAACAGGCTAAGTCAAACCCGCAAACATCTAACGATCAAAACACCACAAGTCTCCATCCAAGTCTCTTTGCCAAACTCCCCGAAAACCTGTCCTTCCGTCCATTTTGTCCAGCCTAGTGTTCACAGTGAACTAGGTCTCCACTTTTCCACCACGTTCTCCTAGTAGGGGACTCCTGTGAGGTGTTGAACACTGAGTCGCTAAGCAGTCACCTAAGTACTAGTCCATTATTCACTATCGTCACCTTAGTTAGTTAGTTGGGTTATCATCATTGCACTCCGGACATGTCCATAGGTGCTCAGATCCTAACCTCAGTATGAACTCCAACGTCCGATGGCTAATAGTACCAGTTCTATGTTGCTTAACAAGTCTTCTGGTGTGTCTGGTGTGTGTCTCGTTTTCTGCTATGCCAATCTTAATTCCAAAGTCTGCCATTCTGGCGAGTGATGTGGATTCACTGCCCCCAAAGTCCTCTATCCTTCCCATTTCTCTGAGGGCATTAATAATATCAGCATGATCCACAGGCCGACCGTCGGTAGTGATAGCGGATCCAGTCACCTACAGTCATCCTATAGCCACACAGAATCTTGACAAAGGGGTTAATATAACAACTGTGTGATAGAAGACAGCAAGAACGTTACAGTATATTTGAAATAACAAAGTAGCCTGTGATGAGTTAGTTGATGGGTACTGAAAGAGTTAAAAGGTGACATGACCAGCTCGCTTCTTCCTCATTTCTCCTACTGAGATAATTCTGAAAACTGTCAGGTACACATTATTGTAAGAGTGGATTGATCTCAGCGCTGTACTGGTTGGAGAAGAACAAAATTATCCGACCTCCTGTTGATTACTGAACCTGGACCATAGTCTTAGCAGGTAAGGGTCATAACCACAAAGTCACAAGAGCTCTCTCTCTCTCTCTAAATATATATATATATATATATATATATATATATATATATATATATATATATATATATATATATATATATATGCGCGAGAGAGAGAGAGAGAGAGAGTGAGAGAGAGAGAGACAGAGAGAGAGAGACAGAGATAGAGAGACACACAGACAGACAGAGAGAGAGCGAGAGAGAGGATAATTTGGACCTTATGTAAGCTACAATTAGAGCTGCCATGGTGTAGCGGCTAGACACTTGCATGCAATTCCGAAGGTCATATGTTCAGATCCTGACCAAGCTAAACTTTTTTTTCAAAAATGTCTTTGGCTTCCAGGTCAATCCAGCCTCTTTACTGAGTACCAGGTAAAGTCCTCGGCAGCAAAGGTGGCCGGCATGATGCTGACTACATAACTCACCGAGTGCCAACTGGTCTATTAAATATAGGTCTAGCCCTATATGCCGAATGCGGCTGAAGGTGTGGAAAAGAGTCCTTTTAGGCCACAATTAAATAAACTCTTTTACCGTATTATAAGCTGCAATGTCACAGATTACTGATTTAAACTTCCATGGACCTCTTGTGCTATATTTTGTTTTCTAGCCTTATCTTTTAAGTTCCGTTATCATATTTCCATTTTGATAAATTTAGTTTGTGAAATATTCTGTCATCAATTTCCTGTAAGTAAATATTCAGATAGGCAAAATATATCAAGTATCATATAATGATTTCTTCAGCATCCCAAGCCCTTGAGGTTCATTGCTGCAGATATCACCCGAATCCATTCATCTCTCTGGTTGGCCTTCTCTATCCAGTTGGTGACACCAAGTGTTTGCAGGTCGGTCTGGACATTATCTCTCCATATTCTTCTTGGTCTGTCTCGTGTTTTATGACCATTTATCTCCCTTGTGTATACAGTTTTTACTTCTCTGTCATCTGACATTCTTTTAATATTCTCCAACCATTTCAGTCTATTTGCTCTCATGATGCCAGTGATCAATGGTGATTTAAACAAATTAGGAATTTTGTTATTGCTTCTCACTCTCCATTCCCCACTGTTGGCATCTTTGATGGGTATCATATAACGACAGCTTTACAAAATGTAACAGTACCTCTGTCAAGGTTGAGAGAACAGCAAGGCCCTTTTCTATCAGGTCAGCATAAGATGACTGCAAAATAATCTTGACAGCAGATACAGGCTGCTGATGTTGCACAAGAAGTTCAAAGATATGTTCCGTGCACTGAAAAACATATATTCACATTATGTTACTTATCAGTAAGGTTAATACAGTTTAATACATACAGTAATTCAATCTGATACATGCTGGAATACAATTTGATACTTGCATGCAAACAAGTTGCACAACATAACGATTAAATTAAACAAAACACTGCCATTTTCTCCTAACATTTCTATTGTAAATGTGATTAAATAATTAGTTAGGACTGACTCAGTAAAGCATTAGCTCAGAAAAACACACAAATAAATGTGTTATTCTCTTGGATATGTGTGTGTGTGTGTGTGTAATATGTATTGGTACTAAGGATTGTATTGACATGTCTTACATGTGAGATTAATACTTTCAATAATTATTTATGACACTAGGAAAGATAGCATAGGACACAGTGATGCAAGATAATCTAAAGGATACTCACTGGTACAGAAAAAACCCCAGGACATCAACCAACTCATGCCAAATTATAATATCCTTTGCTATCACATGCAGCCTATCCCACGTTCTCCCTGTCTTTCAATGTCACCTTCTAGCTACCTTCTCCACATGTTTTTGTGGTCTGCTTTCTTCTTCTTCTTCTTCTTCTTCTTTGTGTGCATTGGCTGCATAGGCAGAAAGTCATGTTTGTTCATCCACTCCTGGATTTTAGTCTTGTTCAAGAACTTAAGTGTTGCATTCAAGTCTGTTTCACAGATCTGGCTTATTTGCTGCCTCTCAGGCAGATGCATTCCGACTTTGAAGGAAACCCCTACCTAGTCGGCTCTTATGACAAGCTTGTTTGGAAGAGGGCTGGGGTGCGGGAGGACGGGAGTTGGTATAGTCTTGTCTTCTCTGTAATGAGGAACAGGAACCAACACAGGAAGGTCTGCTTTTACTTCAATTTACCTGTGGGTTCCAGTGTAACATTCTAGTTACACTGTTCTCAGGTTTTCTCATGCAATGTAAACAAATAAAGGACCTTTTTTCATGCCTGTAGGCCTATTGGATATACAGCGCTAGATCTATATTTTCAGATCAACTGGCACTTGGTAGATGATGTGGTCAACACTAAGCTGGCTGTCTTTACTTCCCAGGACTTTACCTGGTACCAATTTAAGGTTGGGTCAACCCGGGGGCCAAAGCCACTTTTGAAAAAGTTTGGCTCTGTTCAGATATGAACCCAAAACTTTCAGATCTGTAGGTGAGCATCTAACTGCAACACCATGGCAGCCCTCTTCAGTGCAATATGCCAGGCAGAAAATAAGTGATTAGTTGCAATCAATCATCTTCATGTAATTTACTGTGTTCTATAAGGGAGGGAAGCATAACATAATAACTCTGTAACACACCAAATATGTTTTAGGATGTAACAAAAAAGATAAGTAGAAAAAAGGGTACACTGGCTTCTTTATTCCATACAAAACTCTAGCTGCAGAATCCAATTGATCGTGAACAAATCTACAAAGGACTCTGCGGAATCCAATTAATCATGAACAAATCTACAAAGGACTTAAAATCGAGTTGAATGAGAACATTTACTGTGCTGGGAGATGAAAGGCAGAAGAATCTTCATCAATGGAAAATCTTTCAATAAACAAAGGCAGCAAAAATTTTAACAATCTAATTTAAATCTTATGTACTTACCTTTTTATCCAGTGGGAATTCTAAGCATTCATCTTTGATAACCTTACATATGGTTTCTCCCCCAAGGTCTTGTGAAGACAGGATAGCACTGAACACTTTGACCCATGGGTTTTTGTTCAGATCCGAGCTTTAGAAAAAAATAATGTCAAAAATAATACATCACTCCATATGTTTTAATCTACTTATCTTTTTTATTAAGTGATTAATGGCTGATGTGTTTATTCTCAATCTACAATATTTGATTGCACTGACAGAGTGGGAAAAAAACTGGAATTAATTGTTACAACAGGAAAGATGGTAAACAGAAGAAGATCAACAGAGAATGTAAGACAAAGTGTGGCATCATAATATGGAAGAACATGTGTATATTTAAGACAGAAAGTTGTGGACAGACCTGATTACCTGTAGCATATGATATGGATTATAAGAAGAAAATGTGTCTGCTCTGTTATATTCACAGTCTGTTTAGAAGATTCACTAATTTGGGCAAAATTTTAACCCTAGGTCTGCCAAAATTAGGCAGACCCATGACATGCTCTGAAGAGTGTTCTAGTGCTCCACATTTTCAAGTGGCAAAGTCCAAGAGATCCCCATTCTGTATAATTGTGAGTTGAGTTTCTGGTGTCATTTGAGTTTGAAATGTCTGCTTTGCATATTTCTGCAAAGACTGGCTTGCTAATGCTAGCATGCTCTTAATTTTTCCTATAACTTTTATTCTTTCCTCTACTTAAGATTGTACACTTTTTTTGAAAAACAAATATGATAGTAATGCTTGCTTGAATGTCCTCTTGTAAAATTATTTCTTTGTTATATGTTTTAATATGACTTATAATAATAAAATATGGACTAGCTTCCCACATGTAGCGCCCATTAAAAAAAATGTTAAGTTTCCAACATATAGCCATGGAAACGCTGGCTGGTTTCTCATATTTTTGCCAAATCAAATACTGGCTAGATTCTCAAATTTTGCCATATTAAATATTGGCTAGTTTCTCTCATTTTGCCATATTAAATACTGGCTAGTTTCTCATATTCTGCCATATGAAATATTGGCTAGTTTCTCTAATTTTGCCATACTAAAATACTGGCTAGTTTCTCTTATTTTGCCACATCAAATACTGGCTAGTTTCTTGTATTTTGCCATATTAAAATACTGGCTAGTTTCTCTCATTTTGCCACATTAAATACTGGCTAGTTTCTTTCATTTTGCCATATTAAAATACTGGCTAGTTTCTCTCATTTTGACATATTAAATACTGGCTAGTTTCTCATATTTTGCCATATTAAATACTGGCTAGTTTCTCATATTCTGCCATATGAAATATTGGCTAGTTTCTCTAATTTTGCCATACTAAAATACTGGCTAGTTTCTCTTATTTTGCCACATCAAATACTGGCTAGTTTCTTGTATTTTGCCATATTAAAATACTGGCTAGTTTCTCTCATTTTGCCACATTAAATACTGGCTAGTTTCTCTCATTTTGCCATATTAAAATACTGGCTAGTTTCTCTCATTTTGACATATTAAATACTGGCTAGTTTCTCATATTTTGCCATATTAAATACTGGCTAGTTTCTCTCATTTTGCCATATGAAATACTGGCTAGTTTCTCTCATTTTGCCATATGAAATATTGGCTAGTTTCTCATATTTTGTCACATAAAATACTGGCTGGTTTCTCAAATTTCGCCATACAAATACTGGCTAGTTTCTCACATGCTGCTGCATAAAATAGTGGCTAGTTTCTCACATGCAGCTGTTATAGACCTCTCATTCACTCTACATTAACAAATACAATCATTTGGCTCTCTCTGGTCGATCCAGCTTGAGTAAATACCAGGTACAAGTCCTGGGAAGTAAAGATGGCTGGCGTGATGCTGACCAAATCACCCAGGAAGTCCTGATTAAGCTTTCAAATTAAAAAAAAAAAAAGCTTATCACAAACAGCATTCCTGGCACCTGGCAGAAAACACACACATATACATGACACAACCACAATTGGTTGAGTTCTTATGCAATATTAATAGGATAGCTGGTGTAACAGTTATCTATTGGTATGGTCCGCCTTCTTAACCTATGCCTGACTGCTCCCATGGTCCCTTTAAAATCACTGCTCTTTTTTTTTTCAGGACTCCACAGTCACAAACCAGTATCCTGGCATTATGCAGCCATCCTCACAATACTTGTGCAAACCACAGGTCCAACAACAATCATTACAATCCACTAGAAGGTTATGAGGTGACAAGTGTCACTCCGATTGTTACTAGGGAGTGATGCTTCACTTGCGAAGATGGCGACTGAAATCTCAAGCGGAGACGGGGGCTGAAAACTCATGGAGACTGCACACTTACATTTGCAATATATCAAACAAAACATCTAAATGTGCAGAAAACTATCAAGCTATCTGCAACACAAATATAATCACACACTATTCGCTTTCAACTTGGATTATACTAATAAAATTATCCACTTATCACTGTTACAAAAAACACGGCTATGAAAACCTACTGTCACCACAATAACCTTTTTTATCTGTCACACACATGTCTCCTGTGAATCTACCAATCTTGTCTGTCCCTAACATTAAAGTCCTTCGTCCTTGTTACGTCAAGGTCCTGTTCACTCAGTCCCTTTTCCCTGTGTACTGTCAAATTATACTCGGTCATGAGTGGCTAATATGTCAATATGATTGTCATGATGAAATTTAAGTTCTGTAACTTGTCTATTCTTAATTAACTGTACTACTTCTCTTAACCTCAGTCCATGACAGTAGCCACATGACATTAGCTAATTTCTCATATGCTGCCATGTGAAATATTAGCTAGTTTCTCACATGTTGCTTCATGAAATATCTGTTAGTTTCTCATACGTAGTGACTATAAGTACAGACTAACTTCTCACATGTAGTCACTTTAAAAAAAAAGCTAGGCATCTCACATACAGCCACTTGAAACAAGACTAGTTTCTCATATGTAGTCACAAGGAAACAGGCTAGCTCTTTACTTTCCACATCATTTCCTGATACCCATTTCAGATATAACTGACCCAAAAGCCCTGGTCAATTTACAAAATACATCTTCATGGGGATTTTAATATATGACTCACAGGTGGGTGGCAAGCAAGCTAGCTACTGAGACTACCACAATTCCATATTAGACATACAAGATTGTATTCCGACAAAAACTACAGGACAAGTGTTGGTAATCTTCTTCTTCTTCTTTCGTTCGCCTAAAATAAGTTATCTATATCAGCAGTTTTGTCTCTTGTATAAATTTCACTGTCGTTGTTAGTTCATTCAGTGGTCCATAGAGTTTACGTTCCACTGTTGTTCTTTCTGGCCAAAAGGTTTGCCTTAATGTGTCAAAATCGGTGCAGTCCTGGAGTACATGCTCTGCGGTCTGGGGCACATTTCCACAGGTGCACATGGCTGATACACCTATCTTGAATTTTGTGTACATGTGGTTACGTAATCGGTTGTGCCCTGTTCTGAGGCGGAAGATAATGACTTGTTCTGGTCTGTCCATAATAAAATAGTCGTCTTGTGCTGGGGCTGGTGGTTTCCTGATCGATTTAATGATTCTTTTCTTTTGGTGGTATGTGACTGGTACATCTGGCTGCTCTTTTGTCGCACCTTCCCCTGCCAGTTGATCAGCTTTCTCATTTCCAGGCACTCCACAATGAGACGGTATCCACTGCATTACGACTCTTCGCTGAACGCTGAGTTGTGTCAGCAGTGTTTGCAATTCTGGTAGTTTCCTATACTGGAGTGCTTCAAGTACTGATTTAGCATCTGTAAGCATTACCACATACTGTGAGCCAAGGTTGGTATTTAGCAGTTTCTCTGTAGCTATCTTAATAGCCTGGGTTTCTGCATCGTAGTTATGGCAGTACTTCCCGGTTGGTACGCTGGACTTATCCCTAGTACCATCTGGGAATTCGATGTACACTCCAGCACCACCATTTCTAACTGCACTTTCTGCGGACCCATCTGTATAGACTCTGACCCATTGTTCTTGTGGGTATTCTTCATCAATATAACTGAGGGTGGCCATTTTGCGTTGTACACTATCTTGCTCTTTCTTGTCAAATATCCCTTTCACATTTGTCTGGATTTGTACCGTTAGTTTACATTTTTCTCTCCATGGGGTTTGTTCCGGAATACTTTTAAGTGGGCAGCCAATTTCTGGAAGGTCAGGAGTTTGTCTACATATTCTTTTTGCTTGGTGTATAAAGCTGCTTCTTTTTAACCGTCCCAAGGCTAGGTTCTTAAATCTATTTTCCATCGGGTGATCTGGCATACTGAGGAACTTTTCAGCTTGTATTTGCAACTTTGTATCTCTGCGTTCTCTCAGTGCCTGTGTTTTCCCAGCTTTCTCCATTTCTAATATGGGGGTTGATTTCATCCCTCCTGTGATGACTCTGAGCGCTTGTGTTGGTAATCAGATAACAACTGCAGCAAAATTAAAAAGCTTCTTCCATGGCAAAAAAGATGAAAATAATCATAATCATTCAAACATGAAATTTTCAAGTCAAGACTAGGTCTTCATTTTTGTGTGTTAACTGTTAACACGACACAACATGATAAAATATCAATATTATAGATTCAAAACTTGTTAAATCTCTCTCTCTCTCGCTGTAGCAACAGTCCCATAAACACAGCCAGACCCATAGTACTATCAATCTAACTTATAGTATTCTTCCAGCTCTTATCCCCCAATAGAGCACAGGCCCTCAACCAACATCCTATCCTTTGCTAATGCATACAGCTCAACCCTTTGTCCTCACCATCTTTCTTTACTCTTCTCTAAGAAGAGCCTCCAACCATCTAGATGGATACTATTTGTTACTTTTTAAAACTTTTCATAGGTAGTTTTTATGGCTGTAGTGTTTTCATCACCACCATCGGGTTACACGGAATAAAGTATACTTTATTTCTTCAACAGGGCTATTCAGCTAAGGCTCCTCAGCATCCTAAATTGTGAAAATGGGGAAATTCACAGGCCAGAGACCGAGCCAAAGCATATAGAGAACCTTTAAACAATATCAGGCAGTGAATCGTCAGCCATTTACTAGGCCTCAAGTTAAATAGCCCTGCCTAACATTTTCTGCTAAAATCATGGCTGCATTTCATAACACCAAGATTACCATATATAAAATATGCATAAAGACCAGTTGTTTTATATGGCTCTGAAATCTGGAAAACAACTAAAAGAGATGAAGCCTTGTAGTCTTATGACAAATCTTTGAACCCATCAAAGACAAACAGAGTCTTATGACAAATCTTGGAACCCATCAAAGACGCAAGCAGCTGGGAATGGAGAGTGAGAAGCAAGAATGAAATTTATAGTGTGTTTAATCATCACTGGTCACTAGCAGCATGAGGTATAATAGACCAAAATGGCTGGACAGAGAGAGAGAAGGGTAGATGATAACAGAGGCAAAAACTGTGTACACAAGGGAGTGGAATGGCCACATTTCGTGAGGCAGACCAAGAAGACAGTGGAGAGATAAGATCCAGGCAGACCTACAAACATTTGATGTCACCAATTGGAAAGAGAAGGTCAATAAGAGAGATGAACAGAGGAAAGTGTTATCTGCAGCATGAACTTTAAGGGCTCAGAATGCTAAAGAAGAACCTTTTACTCATAAACAACAAAAATAAATTAGAATGAACGAGAGGTCATCAACACAGAGCAGGTAGGTTCCATATGCATGAGTTCTTACACTGTCTGTTACTCACCTGCAGGCAGAAGAAAATGGTGGCCACAGAATGAGGATACGACACAGTGTAAGAAAGTGCTCCTTGCTGTCACACTTGTCTAGGAGGTGAGAAAACAAAGTCAGTCTGGACTCCTCAGAGGCAATGTTCTCTTCACTCACCTGTAAGGTATATTTTATATTAAAACATACAGGTTACTAGTGTCAGCAAAGAGATTTCTGCACAAGTCATGAATCAAAGTGCAATTAAAAATTACATGAAGAGAGTGAGAAATAAAACAGTATTATTATAAGTATTGGTTTGGTGTAGATCTATCTGAGACATAAATTAAAGCAAAAATTTGAACTACATTTAAAACTAGAAATTTTTTCTTCACTCGATATGCAGTCTGAATATTTAAAGCTACACAGGGAGTTGCTGTAGTGTAGCAGCTGCAGATCCGAAGGTCGTGGGTTCAGATTCTTCTTCTTCTTTCAAACACAGTCAGACTTTTAAAAAAAAAAAGATCTTGGCTCCCAGGTTGACAGAGCCTCAAACGGGTACCAGGTCAAGGGAAGTAGAGGCAGTCGGCAGGATGTTGACCACATCACCCAAAGAGAGCCGACTCTTTACAAAATAAGTCTAGCACTATATGCCAAATACACCTGAAGGCGTGGAAAAGGGTCCTTTAAATATATATTTACAAAAAAAACTTTTCAGGGAATTCACACAAACTTCTTGTCAAGTACAATATTAATGTCAAGACTGTTAAAATTAAATAGGTAATACCACAAAACTTTATGCTGGCATAATTAAAATTTAAAAAATGTACCTTCTCTTCAGGCCATGCTGATGACACTAGAGCATCAGTTCTGTACAGGGTTAGCAAAATTCTTTCTGTGTCTGATAAATCAAAGCTCTGAAAACAAACAAAGAAGCAAGCCAGAATTAATAATTTTGAACTGTTTCAAATTAAAATGTTACTCAATATATTTTATCTCTGTGGCTGAGTTCATGAAAATAATTCATAAGAATCTAGACAACTTTGTTACGATGTTCCTTGAGTATATATTGTTCATGGCACTTACTTTTTCTAACACCTTTAACACATCCAGGCGAGGGGTTACATCCATGGAAGCATCTGAACAGAAAGATCTCAGTAAGGACATGACATCTTCAGCTTGTACTAAATCTCCCCTGCCATACAGAAAAGAAGAATACTGGTAAGTTTATACAACTTTCAACAATAGAAACAATATATAATTACTGTAAGCTGAATTTGTACTTGAACTTGTTTGCTGAACGTATATCAGGGTGTTCTCAGCACTCTTCTTTATGGCAGTGAAAAGTGATTAACTTATTCGCACCAGGAGAAATGGCTAAATAGCTTTCATGTGCAATCACCAAACAAGAATACTTGTCATTAGGTGGCACGACATGATCACAAATACTGAGGTCCTGAAAACAGCAGGTATCAACAGTTTTCTCAATGCTTAGTATTCGAAGAGTCAGGTGGCTGGATCCCATTTGAAGAAGACAGGAGGTTAGAGTCCCTAAGGACATCTTCTATGGTGAATTACAGATGGGTAGAAGATGCTGAAGTCAACCTATACTACTATATAAAGATGTGAGCAAGCGAGACATGAATAATACATGTACTGAGGTAGATTTGTGAGAGTAAAATGCCAAGGACTGTGTTGTGTGGAGGGGGAATATCAGGAAAGGAATGGAAATAAAGAAAAATATTTTTGCAGATAGGTATGAGAGGAGGGAAACTAAAAATATGTATTGTGACCACAACAGTCTTGTCCTCAGATGACTGCAGAAGAAGAAGTAAGGTAAACTTCAATGACAAGCACTGGGTATATGCTTTGTTAACATCCATATATCTTCATAAATCTTTCAGCATTTGTTTTTTTATGGAGTGTAACTGATTTTGAATGTATTGTGGTAAAGAAGACTCAATGACACTTACATGTGATTACCAGATAAGCCTACCCACAGTCATTTTTCCCCCCCCCCCCCCCAAATATGTAACCTCATCATCAGGTGCCTTGCCGACAGCCACTGGCAATCATGCTTCTCCACAATCTGCGATCTCCTGCAGCATGTATCAGTTTGTGTGCTGACAAGACTGTCAAGAATTTTCTCTCATTGTCTTCCTCTATCCCTCCTTCCACAGATCTTTCCAGTGGTCACATGTTCCATTTTTCATCTTCTCATAACATGGCCAAAAAATGATGACTGTCTCTTACTGATGTCTGTGATAAGTTGTCTTCCAGCTCCCGCCTCTTTCAAAACCTCTTGGTTGCTCTTTTTTGGCTGTCCTAGGTATTTTATGCATTCTTTTATAAAACCACATCTCTGAGGCTTCAAGAAATTGTTTGGCTTGCCCACCGATTGTCCAAGACTCACAGCCATATGTTAAAACTGGATGTATGTAGCAAGCAAGAATTCTTTTTCTAACCTTCAATGACAGAGTTATATTGCATAAGATGTTCTTCATTTTATAAAATTCAGTTTTTGCCTATCCTATGCTGTTTTTTAACTAGGTAATGCATCTTCCATCTGATGTATAGCCAAATATGTATAGCTTTTTAAAAAAGTGTCTGTAACTCTATCACTTTATTATATTATCAAAACAATAACAGCTTATAATTCTTGACAGAACATTTTAAGCAAATAAATAAAACTTACTTAACATTCTTCATTTTTTTTGTAACTTGTTTCAAAATAGAGGACAAATATTAGGACTACACATTAAAAACAGAAGCTGAAATAAAAGAAATCAGATTGCTTTATAAAATAGTTATATGCAAGCAGATACACACCCATTATCTTGATGTTTCCTGACATTTTCAACAACCATTTGCAGCACTTCCAACCAAGGTTTGCTTGCTCTGATTTCTTGTATGCCATTGTCCCCCCTGATCATTAAAAAAAAAATCTGAATGTTAACCAAATTATTTTTTTTTACAAGTATTTATCATCTTTAGTATTAAATTAAGTATTATAGGATCACTATAACTGCATATTGATATTTCTATAGGGATGCAGAAGCACTGAGCCATAGGTGCTGGAGCTCCAGGGCTGGGGCTCATACAGGTCCTGACCTATCCTGACCTATCTACACCTCTCTGTAGTCATCCTAGAAACAGGTTCTCAACCATGGGCCTGGCCAAGAGAGATATGACCGATGTTTTCTTCAAGTTGCTCTAATCTTCTCCAGTAGACAACACTGGAAAAACCACACACTCCATAACATAACAAATGCAACACATTTAAAAGATATGTATACAGTAGTCTAACAATGTTATTTTTATTATAGAGATTAATCATATAAGGATTAGATGATTATATGCCTCACTAAACAACTATGGAGTAGGCCTTAAAATATTAAACGTCCACATCTAACCTGTCTGTGAATTTGAAAGCTTTTTGTTACCTCAATGCCTTGACTATTAAGGAGACAGCACGCTGCACAATCTTGCGAGTTTTCAGTAAACTTGGTGGCGCTACCTGCAGAATATCATCCACCAACTCCACTGCCTGACCATCTAATATCATCTGAACTAACAGCAGTTCAACCTGAAATATACAATACCATATGAACAAAAGGCTCATAACATTTTTCTTGTATTTTAATCCTTGACTGATAAGTTTTAATATTAAAAATTCTTTGTTAGTAATTAATGCAGCACTCTGAATTCTTTTTATGAGTAAACAATCATAGCTGTTTCAGTCTGCTGAAGTAATTGCTATCCACCATTCTTGTCTAGTTTTTTTTTTTTTTTCCTTGAGGAAAAGACAAACAGTTACTTTTGAGGATGGCTGAAATTAGTATTCACTTAGAAGTATTTATTTATTTGCTTCAGCTGATTTAATTCTGGTACTGCATTTTGCACCTTATGGGATCCAGTGAAACCTGCCACAGAATAAACTGTGCAATCTGTTATCTGTATCATTTCTGTTCAAACTGTTGTTATAGTATCTTTATTTTTCTTTATTCATCCCTAAAAGGGCAATTGGCACACTTGTTGTGGTACACAGCTGGGCTGCATCATCGGTGCCTTTCAGACCAACACATCAAATTTCAATAAAACCTTAATTAAGTCTTTGACGACACTCTCCTTAAGAGGTAGTGGGTCAATTCTTTGTTTCTCTCCAAAATGGGACCCTAGAACTCACAGTGGAAAGATGTTGACTGATTTATTATTGCAATCCCCTAACTTTTAATAGGTAAGACATTGTCCTTCCAGTCCTTCCATTTCACTAAGAGTGTTACTTCAAGTTATATATTACCTTTAAACAATTAATAAGGAATAACTTAAAAATATCTCAGCAGAATAAAACATTCATACCACTTGCAAATCTCCTTTAGACAGGTCATATTTTTCTGCATACATGGAAAATGTTGGATCAGATGCTTGGGCAAATGACTGAATAGTATCATTGGTTAATGACATGAGATGAGAGAGTCGCGTCTGCAAATATTGAGAACATTCCTCCCAGGTCATTTTTCTAAGGAAAGAAAACAAATGAATATTATCTCTGATGAAACCTTCATTGATTATGATAGTGATGATGATAATGATGCTTTATGACATTTTAAAATACATTTGGAAACTGATATGATCTTAAACAATTGACAAAAAATCATGATTGTTGTTCCATGAAAAGCAAGGGAGGGGGGGGGGGGGGTTTACAAAACATATACAACTCAGCAGTAGAGGGATCAACAACATCTTCCATTCTATTTTTTAAAAGAGAGAAACCTTTAAACATATATATTTTACACACAAAAAAGATTTAAAGACTGTTCTCATGGCTCTCATGCAGTGGTATGAAAGGCGCGTATGGAAGAGATTGTGGTAGTATTCTTAAAGACAGCAATGGTTGTACATATCCCATAAAATCACATCCACACTAGAGAAGACCCACATTTTATATTTTTATTAAAAGACTTTAAGCATTATGGATTTTCTTCCTTTCTCTTTACAATTCTCAAGTCATAATTTATATTTCAAACTTGTAACTTTCTCAAGTTTGAAGCAATAAAACATGAAAAGATCTTTTCTTTTGCAAGAGTCTTTAGTCTTTAAGAGACTTTTGCTACTCTCAATTTATGAAAATTAATGCCATGAATTACCCAGAGTCCTCCAGTTTTTTCTTTTTTCCAGTGCCACTTTGTTTGGAGAACTTCAATGCTCTTTTTGTGATCTCTGTTCGACATGGGACATCCAGCTGTTACAGAAACAAAAAATAAAGTAGGAATAAAGTGTGTACATTAGGAAATGATAAAATAAAATGTAACAAATACAGCAGGTAATGGCTAGCATGAAACAGACAATCTACATTCTTTGGTCATGTGATGAGAAGGAGAAAACTGGAGTACATCATGACGGTAGGAAAGTTGGAGGGGAGGAGAGGCAAAGGGAGACAGAGAGAACAGATGCTGGACAGTTTGACATCATGGCATGGAAGATCATCTGTGTTAGAGTTAACTGAAAGTACACGAGACAAAAGATTGTGGATAGACATGACTACTAACGCCACACAGCATGGACTTTAAGAAGAATAGCTAGCATGCTAGTCTGGCTGTCGTAGACTTGAACCTCCATCCTTAAACTTACCAAGCTAACCCAGCCTAAAATATAACAGGAGATATCCTCTTTTTTCTGTAAATATTTCCTATGTGCCACTGGGCATCAAAGTCTAACAGGTGATATGTAAATCAACCAGGATGAGCTTATTTACTTGGTATATTATGCTGCTCTGAAGTCTTACGCTGTCAGTGACTTCATCAATTCATGTTCTTTTAGGTCTCCCTCTTCATCCTGGTGTTTCCATCTTCATACTGTACTCTCTCACTGCTGGCATCCTTAAAATCATTCTCACCAGCTGGCCAAATAATGTCACTTTTTGTTTCTCTATGAATTTAACTACGGGTACTGTTTCAATACTTTTTCTAAACTCTTCATTTCTCAAACAATATCTTCTGGTTTTATTTGCATATATTCTGGTGAATGAGGTAAGAAAAGAATGATAGATTGGCTGCTACCACACCTTTGGACAGTGAGCTAATTAATGATAAGGTAGACATGGTACAAATTTTTCTGAGACAAGTGGATAGTGCAATGGAACAGACAATCTATACACTGTCCAACAAGCTATTGGTTCAATGAATATTTGCAAACTAGAAACAATACTGTCTTCTTCATCTTCTTAGTGTTCACTGGCTGTTAACTCCATCAACAAATTCTGGTTGTTCGTCTACTTCTGAACCTTGGTCTTGTTCAAGAACTTAAGTTTTGTGTGTATATCCATTTGACAGATTAGACTGTTGGTTCCTCACCCCCCAGCAAGATGCACGTCGACTTATAAGGAAACATCTTTAATTAGTCATCTTTTATTACAAGCTTGCTAGGCGAGATGCAAGTATATTCTTTGTTTTCCCTCCAAAAAAGATGCAGGTCTATTCTTTGTTGTGCCCCCCATCCCTTCCCCCACATGTAATCCATACAGAGAACAACTCCTCTTATTCCCGTTTCAAAATCTACCACAGCCAACTTTAGCCGATTGAACAAGCTTCAAACACACCAACATCAAAACCATTGCACCCGACCCACAGAGGTGGAGGGAATTGATGAGACATTCAAAAGCAACTGGTTACCCAGTGAGGTTATGGTACTATGATAATGACTGACAACTACTGTAATAATGCAATTAAATTACACTTAAGACTCTGGCATTCACACAAACAAATAAAACAAACAGATGTTGCTTACCTCTACTCTTGCAGTTGGAGTAAAAACAATGTTGTCAATCAAAGCTAAAAGATCCTCTGGCAGTAGTTTCTGAATCCATTCACCAATTGATTCATAACGATGGATCCAGGCACTCTTCATATGGACAATAAATTATGGAATTGGTTAGCATTTAAAAATCAACTGGTATATTAAAATATAATAAATTATAGGGTAATATTTTATAATAAGATCATGTTAATTTAGCATCAATTAGTGTCTTTAAAACAGTGTCTCAAAACATGACAAACTGTTAAAGTTAAAAATAAAATATACAAAGAAAGTAGACTGAAAGGCTAAGATACTAGTCTCATATATAAAAAAAAATTACAGGAAGAAACATTATTTTTAAAAGGAGAAGATTTAGAAAAACAAAGCTGGCACACTGAAACTAATGGTGTTGAAAAAGGGTGTTCTAATTTTGGCAGTCAAATCCAGCAGATATCATTAACGGTAAGTAAACTGTATAAGTGAATTTAAATAAAAAAGAGAACAGTTTGTGACTGTAGCAGACAAAGTAAATGAAATCTATTTGTTGCTCTTTTCATTAACAATCAAATGATAAATAAACAATTTTTTTAGCTACTTAATCTCTTAATCAGTGTATATTACAAATACAAAATATTTTTTTAAATGCGAAAGCTTGAATCGATCACAATTTGGTATATTTAGTAGGTTTTACATACAGTTTTGGTTTAGCATATATAACTGTTCTATCCATTAACAAGAAACTTCATAAATGAACACTTTTCAGCTGCTAAAGCCCCTATTAATGTTTATTACAAGCAAATTACTATAAACAAAAACAAAAAACAAAAAAAAAACAATGTGAGAAATAAACTGAACACAGTTTGGCAAACATATTTAGTACATGTTTCATTCAATGTTACCTTATTTTCTGGAAGTAATTTTTGGTTTCCATCCTGACCCCAGAAAATCTGGCTTGCCCAGCAGCCATATATTGAGCTTGGTTTGAGGAAACCTCCCTCCTAGGATGTCAGTCAAAAACATATTCTGGTTAAGTTTTCATGTTAAATAACATAGGCCTACTAAATTAAACATAGGCATAACTTATGTACTCAAACCTAACATGACTAAGACAATTTATTACAAACATTAAAAAGAGACATTTTCATTTCTGGATTACATTAAAAGAACACTGTGAGAACTAGGAATATTTATGGGAGCAGAGATAGAAGACGCCAGAAAGCAAAGATTCTTGACAGACTTTTGTCTTGGCATGGAAAGGTTTCAGCATACAAACTAATTTATAATGTGCAGAGGATCTGAGAAGTGAAAAAGATTTGATCATCCATGCTAACTGGCAGGGTTTTTAATGATAATAGTCATTCTATATTTGGCTCTTTTTTGGGTTTCAATGTAAATCTGTTTATAGAACAGCAACAATATTTTAACATTTCAGACAACACATCTGACTTCTTCAAAGGTCTGTTGATTGTGCCAGTCTGCCCAGATGATGACAGTGATGACAAGCAACAAAGAAACTTAAATTAACAGCATGCCAACACAATTTAAATGTGCATCCATAGTTCTGAAATTAATGTTACCCAAAAAAAAAAAAAAATCAAGGCTGAAAAAAAAGAAGGTATAAACTATGACAAGGAATCAAATCTAATCTATAACATGCCAGTAACAAACAGAAAAAAAGCAGCCAGGCAAGCAGACTAGAGAAAAGAAATATATTTACTGTATATTTTACAATGACACTTACCTTGTCAGGTATTTGTGAAGCCAGTTTGGCTAATGTGTTGATGTTAGCTGCAGTAAGACAAGGACGCAGTACCTCAAGAGGGGATGTGTCACTGTCCATTAGTTTCTTGTAATCCAAACCTAGAGGCATGAACAAAGAAACTCATTAAGTAACAACACATAGCAAGAGTTAAACATTGAACAAATTAACATAAATGTGCTAATATCTAAGACATTCATTGTGTAATTCACTGATTAAAACATCTCAACTTACATTTTTATTAATGAAAAATTACAATTATAACAAAAAGTAACAATTTAATTAGCATTCCATACAAAAGAAAATACATTTTCCTATTAAGAACAGCATCAATAATGAAAACATTAAGCCTGTAGATGCAGCTGTTCCTTTTCTAAACTATACATGTTTAGTTTTCTGTTAATGACATGTTGCACACTGTAAAAGTTTGTTTATGCCACACAACTCTCCTAAACAATCACACCATTACGAGTCCTGCCGATAAGCACAAGCATTCATGTTTCGCCATCTCACACAATCACCAGAATCGAGAATTAGGTCAGGGCTCTTAGCTCACCCCATCAATATGGCCATGCCATCCATGTATTTATCTCTTTGCATTCCCCTTGCTATTTTCCCTATCAACTGTGCCAGCTGTAACCAAGTTTATGACTATTCTTTGCATCTTCAAGAAGATAGTTTGCCATTGCCTCCCTTTTGGCAGTTACCGCACTGAGCAGGTGACCATGTCATGGTCAGTTTAGTGTGATTCTCTGCCTACCTTCTGACAACATGAGACCACATCTCATGGTCAGTTTAGTGTGATTCTCTGCCTACCTTCTGACAACATGAGACCACATGTCATGGTCAGTTTAGTGTGATTCTCTGCCTACTCTCTGACAACATGAGACCACATGTCATGGTCAGTTTAGTGTGATTCTCTGCCTACCTTCTGACAACAGGAGACCACGACCAACAACCATCTGTCAGCTGCTCTCATGCCAATCCACCAGTGCTCCTATGGTTTCATCTTTAAATGCATTCTTTAAAACACAAAATGCACTATCTATATAAATGGTGAATGGCTGTAAAGAATTATGTTGTGAACAAACATGATCACAGATGTGAGGCAGCAAGGCACTCAATAATAATGATAATGGTGAGAAAAGATTGTACATTAATTTAGCACATGGTCAGCTATGATCTCTGCCCACTATGTCTTGTGAACACTTCTGTCTCAGAAAATGCTTATTCTGTGCAAACCTCAAATCTTTGCTACTTAGGCAGATGCACTCCGACCTCAGTTTGAAGGATGACCACGGAGAAGTCTAGAGATAGTGTGCTTCTGCACCTTTGCATCCCTACATACACAAAAATCAGTGCCTGGTCTCACCTGGACATGCTGGTTTCAGCTTCTTGAGTAATGTAGCATGCTCTGATGGGGTCAATCCACATAAAACTTGGTTGTTGTCAGTTTCCAGTAGGCTGAAGAAGTAGGCTAGACCTCTCATGTCTGTGCCGGCGAGAGTTGGGTATATGTGGGTCATCATACGCTGTGTGAACTCTGAACTTCGTTCCTTGAGTGTATTCAGTATATCAAGTTTATTCACTCTTGTCTGAAGTTCCTCAATTGACAACCTGTAAGTTAGAATAGCAAAAATGGTTTTTCCCATGTAAATAATATCACTGCTCTCCTCACACATTTCCACAGTGGTCCAAGGACTAAAGGACTACCAAATGGGAAAGACTAAAGCAGTGGGCACTCTGGTCCCCAATACAAGCTCTACAGAGTATTGTTTTGGCATTCTCATTTTCCCTAAAGCTGATAGCTGTTTAGTGGACTGAACATCATCATCATCATCCCATAACACTACATATCGTTGGGTCACCAGTTTTTGTTGACTGTCTGATCCACTCTCTCTACCTTTGTAGGTCATTTGCAAAGGACTTCATGGTTGCATGCCTGAGGCCTGTCCAGTCAGTCATGTTCTGTAACCAGGTCTTTCTTGGTCTGTCTCCTTGTTCCCTCTAGTAGGCCCTGCAGTATTGTTTTGGATTGAACAGGATTCAACAAATAATAATAAAACAGGTTTTAGTGAGTGAAGAAGACAGACCTGAAACCAAGTCATGACAAGCTATTAATAATCTTCTTCATGCTTGAATTTTGCAGCTAACGTTTTTTTTTAAACAGGATGTGGCAGCTAATCCAATGCCAAGCTCTCCTAGTTCCACAATAGGGGTACAGTAGGTACAATTCTTTTTGCTTCCCAAATGGGTCCAGTTTACACAATGGGTATAATCTAATTTATGGAAAACTAACAATGGAGTCAGTACAGGAAGAATCTACATCGCAGCAGGTTAAACAATATTCTTGTTTTAATCAGAATTTACCAATGTGGCAATGTAGTCAAACTGTTTGCCTCTCGTTGTGAAGATCATGGGTTCGTTTCAAAGACAGTGCCATTCAGTTTATGGGTGCATTCTTTACCGACATCTTTGAGTTTGAGACCATCACTGGAGCTCCCCATGTGAGTTCCCGGAAACCCATTTTGGTTTGGATCAGGGTGGGGGAGGGGGGGGGGGGAATAGATTGCATGCCTCTCTAATAAGCATGTCTAATTAAGGGAGTTTCCTTTGAAGTTAGACTACATTTGCTTCAGAGGTGAGCAATCAACAGTCTGCACAAAAAAAAAATGAGATCTGTAAAATGGATGTGCATGCACAAATCACATTCTGGAAGAAGACCAAAGTCCAGAAATGGATGAACAACCAGAACTTTCCGCCAGTGAACACTAAGAAGAAAAACACTGGCCCTACAGAGTTCATGCTTTGTGAGGTACTCTTGACAGAGGGCTAGCCTTTTGTGCGGAGAGAGATCACGCCATATGAGATAAAACTTGGTGCAACAATACAATTGAGATTAACAGCATACCTACACACAGTTTCTCTGGACTTTCCCTAACAAAAATGTTTCCTGCACATACATATTATGTCCTTTTGAAATAACAAGTTAACATACACACTTAAGAACAATTAAAATTAAAAAAGCAATGCTAAATATTCACCCGCTGTCAGAAAACAAATATTCTAGGTGACATAAATACACATCCCACAATGGAAGAGCATAACGCTTGGCCAATGACAATGAAATATTGTAAACTTCATCATCCAAGCTCCTGAAACGTGAATAAAAAAAGAAAAGAAACATTACCTAAAATGTTTTGCTGAAGAACTGGAAATATACAATTCAATGAGGAAATATGAAATGATATATGAGTATTAGGTTTTATTTATTTCATGCACAATTATGTTACTCTGTGGCTTAAATTATTGACCAAGCCTGTTAGTTAGTTAGTTAGTTATTCCTCTTGTGCCAAAGATGGCGCATAGGGCAGAGGTCATAGCTTTCCACGTCTGTCGGTTCTTTGCCACTTGATGTAGGTCTTGAGTGCGACTGAGACCTATGGTTGAGCTCTCCCTTGTGATGGTTCTACGGAGAGTTTCTTTTGGTCTTCCCTGTTTTCTTTTACCCTCTGGTGACCATATGGAGGCTTGGTGGGGAAGTCTCTGTATGTCCATTCTGAGTACGTGACCGATGTAATTCCAGCGACGCATTCTAATAAAATCAGACACATATTTTTGTTTTGTTTCCTGTCTTATAGATGTATTGGACCTAAAGTCCGACCAGTGAACATTCAATAGCTTTTAAAAAGCATTCAAAAGCCTGTAAAGTCAGCAATTCAAATTTTCTATAATCCCCATGTGGGTTCCAGGGCCCCATTTTGGGGAAGCCAGACCCACCGCCTCCCCAACAAGCCTGTCGTCAGAGTCGACTGACTGGAAGCTTCCTTTGAAGTAGGAATGCATCTGCCTGAGAGGCGAGGAACCAACAGTCTGTACAAAAATGAGTCAGATCTGTAAAATGGATGTGTATGCAACACTTAGATTCTGGAACAAGACTAAAGTCCAGAAGTGGACAAAAAACCAGAACTTTTTTTCCGGAGGTTACAGCCCGTGAACACGAAGAAGAAGAAAAAGAAATCTGTTATAACATTTTGTCTTATGTTCGTGAAGAGTCATGAGCACGCTGGTAAGTGCTGCCAGAAACTGCCTGCCATTTCACATGATCATTAGCCTGAGATTGAGCACTATTTCTTGTCATGATTAAACAATGCGACAAAATCATTCTGTAATGAGATTCCCCAGAATCTAATTCTAGAAATTACGGCAAATTAAAAATGAATTTCCCTCTCTATGGGAGCTCCGATGGTGTAGCGGATCCGAAGTTCGTGGGTTCACTTGGAGCTAGACTTTTTAAAAAAATGACTTGGCATCCAGGTTGACCCAGCCCTGAGTGGGTACCAGGTAAAGTCTTGGGAAGTAAAGGCGGCCGGAGTGATGTTGGCCACATCCCCCACCGAGTGCTGACTGGTCTATAAAATATAGGTCTACCCCTATATAAGCGTTAGGCATAAATAAAGTATTGGACTAAGGATTCATTTTTAAATTATAGCAAAACTGAATAGCCAGTTTATACAAGATCCTACACTACAAGACTAATCATGCGGCAATGAAAAAATATTTACACATAATTTCCCAGCAAAATACGTCAAACTATCGTAGACTTACTACATTACTCTGATCCACAAAAATTCTCTCTCTCCCTCTCTGTTTGTTTTTTAAAGTAACACACACAATTACTTACATAGCCAGACCAAAGATAGTCTCCCTTTTATATTCATTGTCATCTGTAAATCTGATCACATCTACCCCTAGAGAGACAGAAAATCAGATAACACCTCATAATTTTTTTTCAAACCAGATAAAAAGACTTCACAATTACTATGGTAAAATAACTGATAATTTAAGAATTATTATCATCTTAGTTTTAGTCAATTGCAGGTAATTTCAAGTAGTAAGCTAAAAAAAAAAAAAAAAAGACCATTTTAACACCAGTGATGCATCAGTTATATGATGGTAAACTCATATAGCAAGGCTTTACCACCCAAAAATGCAAACATAATGTGACAGCACTCTTAGTTAAAAATATAATAAACTGACCTATATTAATGATGTGTCTTTCCTTCACTCTGGAATTATAATTGGCCCATATAATCGGTGTGCAATAACTTGATTTAAAGTATATACAGTGTGTGTGTATGTGAGCATGCATGTGTGTTTATCCGCACAAGTGTAGGCCGTTATATAGTTTATCATGCTCCGGTGGTGTTATAAACAAGTTAATCTTATGTTTATATATAACATCAAGTACTGTTTATTATTTCATATCAGAGGCGGAATTGTTACTGTACTTAAAAAATTAAAAACTCCTGGTCCTAAACTGGTCAAGACCAATCTATACATCTCTGTGGTCATCCTAGAAACAAGTTCCCAATCATGGACCTGGCCAAAGTAGATAGGAACATTTCCTTTTATGCTGGAGTGTATCTGCTTAAACAACTTACAATCTGCACACAAATAAGCCAGATCTGTACAACGACTGTGCAGGCAAGTTCAAGTCCTGTAACAAGACTAAAGTCCAAAGGCTGACTGAAACAAACAGGACTTTCTTTCACCAGAGTTTAAAGATGTTGAAGGCTAAAAAAAAGAAGCCTACTGATTTATAATAAAGCATAATCTACTGCAGCTGTTGATTATGATAAGGATTATTAGAAATATTTTCCTCATCACAAAAGTGAACTGACCTTTGCCAAGTCTTTGAAGAGTACACGCTTGGTTGAAATCCTCCAGCATCTCCTGATACATTTGCAGCTTTTTAACCATTGTTTTGACTTCGTTTGGCCTCTCACTCTCAGAACTGTTGGCAATGTAATCAAGGACTCGACCGATTATCTTTGATGGTGTTTGTCTGTAGAGAGCATACACGTGAGGGGGTGTATAAGGCTGCATGGTGCTGTACACCTGGATAGCGTAGAAATACACTGCCAACTGGAGGGATATGTCAGTGCTAGGGAAACTGTCGAAGAAGCTGTCAAAATCATAGTCCTGACAGGGAAAGAAAATAAAATCATAAATAAAAAAAAAATTTGATCAAAAGTACAGTTGAAAAAACTAATTAAAGAAAATAAGAACAATCAATGGTAAAATTCAAAGAAATCATCATCCTAAACTTTTTCTAATAAGCATTATGGAGAGGAACAGTTCGGCATTCAATGGGTAGCACTGGTTACTGTGGTTCTGCATGGATGTGCAAATGTGCATAATTTCTTTATGTCACCAATCCATCTTCTATTTGGGCATAATCCTGCTCACATTCGGTAGTGTCTGTGTTGGTAGTTGATGCGGTTGCTTTCTAACAAGATGACCACACTATTTGATTTCCTGATCATCAATGAATTTGGTGCAAGGTATTGTTCCCACAGTATATATAAAAATCACTTCTCACTTGGTCCTGGATAGTTAAAAAAAAATAAAAAAATTTAATTGAACAAAACCAGTGTGAGTAACAATATCAGCTACCTTCTTTTACTAGCTTCCTCTGCTGCAGTTCAGATGCATAGACGTATGTATGTATGTATGTATGTATGTGTGTATGTATGTATGTGTGTATGTATGTGTGTGTGTATGTATGTATGTATGTATGTATGTATGTATGTATGTATGTATGTATGTATGTATGTATGTATGTATGTATGTATGTATGTGTGTGTGTATGTATGTGTGTGTGTATGTATGTGTGTGTGTGCGCGTGTGTGTGCGTGTGTGTGTGCGTGTGTGCGAGTGTGCGTGCATGCGTGTGTGCGTGCGTGTGTGTGTGTGTGTGTGTGTATGCATGTGTGTATATGTATGTATGTATGTATGCATGTGTGTATATGTATGTATGTATGTATGTATGTATGTATGTATGTATGTATGTATGTATGTATGTATGTATGTATGTATGTATGTATGTATGTATGTATGTATGTATGTATGTATGTATGTATGTATGTATGTATGTATGTATGTATGTATGTATGTATGTGGGTGTATGTATACATGTGAGTGTATATGTGTGGTTGTGGGGGTATGTGGGTGTCTGTAAATGTGATTGTATGTGTGTGTGTGTGTGTATATGCATGCATGTGTAGGTGTGTATGTATGGAATGTGTGTGTGTTTTGTTTGTCCATGTATGTCTATGTATGTGTGAGTGTTTTATGTTTGAGTATGTATGTAGATGCGTGTATGTATGTATTACGTATGTTTGTATATGAGTGTGCATGTATGAGAATGTAAGAGTATGTATACATTTGTGTGTGTGTGTTTGAGTGTGTAAGATTGTGTACACATGATGTGTGTATGCATTATTCTATAATGTATATTTCTTTATTATATCCATAACATGCATTATTGATAACAGGCACTGGTACTCTGAAACTGAGTGCTTAGTAGGGCTGAATATCAGACGGGCCTGCGTGCCCAATTTGTAAACCTTTCAAAATAAAGTTTTTGTTCGTTCGTTTGTACAGTTCTAGAGCTGAAGGCAAGCATACAAGTGGGAGGATGAGATGAAGAGATGAATGAACAGCACTCTGAGAGAGTGTACTCACAAGGTAAAAGACACATCCATTGCAGCTACCCTTTACTGTGGAGTCGGCACTTGACTGTTACTTGTTATATGCATCAACATCCCAGCACCTCAGTCCAGCACATTCTTGCTCCATCCTCCGATGCAGCAGCCATCACAATGTCTCCAAACTCACTGTACCCAGTAAAGGTTGATCGGCATATCTTTCTTCTTTGGCCCTGCATGCCTGTCAACCTTCAATACCTATTTCCAATAGGTCTCAACATCTCTGGAATGCAGTGCACAGAGCTTGCCTGCCCAGTTCATACTTCTTCTTCCACTAACTACTGCAGACATGGCCAGACTGTTGGCTCTTGCATTTGCTTTAATGACTGCTACTGTTTTGCTAATGTCTGTACAAGAAGTTTTGTTTTTTCCCTCTAAATTTACCCATTTTTGGTTGTATCTGATATTGTGATATCCCGCTCTGAGGGTTCCATCCTAGTCTAAATTTGTACAGTAATTTGCTTTGTTTATATATGATTTAGAGAACTAAGGTAGCGTAGCTGCTAGACACTTCAGTCTACAAGCCCAAAGGTCTCTGGTTTAAATCTGCATCAAGGCAGACTTTTAATAATAAACCTAGGGCTCCCAGACTGACCTAGCCTAAAAAGGGTACCAGGAAATGCAATTGGAAGAAAAGGTGACACACATGTACAATGTTCTTGAGTGGACTCACCTTAGGAATAGCCAGCAGGTAAGCCAAGCCTAGAGTTGTGTCTCTAGTCATTGTTTCTTTGGCCAAATCTATCAGAGCTAAAATAAAAAAAGTATATGAAGCTTAAGGGCACCTGAGAGCAATGGAGGGAATAATCTCTGATAGTATTCCCATGGTCAAAGAAAACTGTGAAAGCTGACAAGATCAATTTCATTGCACAGGACATTCCATACAGCATGGTCTCTACAGCAGAAAGTCATAACAGCTTTGTGAATCTTGTTTGGCAAATTGCTGAAATTTTTCTAGGGAATATGAATATTATTTTCACTTCTTCATTCATCCTTTAGGAGTCTAGATATGCTTTCTTGAATTATCTAAATTTACATTCTACTTGGAATAGTTCTTTGGGAGTATTCAGTTGTGTCAGTTAGGGAGATGGTAAACCTTTCACCTTTCTTAAATGTTTTTAGTACGTTTTTTTAAAGTGTGTTTTCATGTTTATAAAATAAGTCTTGAATAATAATAATTATTATAATGAAATGAAATGATACTATTTCAAACGTTAAGCAAACCATGTGCACTGATTGTGCCAACATGTGCAAGCATGTGGTAATGATTTTGATAGCCCACCATGAATTGGGTTTAACTATGCAGGGGACTGACAACCCAGGGGAAACCATGACAGTATATGATTGACTGCCACTGAAAACTTTATATTATTTGGGGCAACAGGCAAGTACACATTTTTGGCTTTTCAGAACATAACAACCCGTTACCACATGTCCATGTCATAACAATGTCAGCCAGTTCTGAAGTCTGACTGAGAATAGAAAACAAGACTTATACACTGGACTATCATGACAGGAATGGAAGAGGAAGGCAAGTTATGGAGGACATCAATGTCAGACAAAAGACTTCAGAATAGACTGTAGAGAATGTGTTTATCGGTAGGGAAGATAAAAATGTTTTATATGAATATGCTTGCTCATGTATACCTGCAAACAATACACAAACACTGTTTCTTACTTCACAGTTCCCAACAGGGACAAGGAACAATCAGCACTCATCCTAAGCAGATGGTTCAGTGTATGAGCCTACACAGTACAGTGAGAGTGGCAAAAGGATAAGCAGAACTGATATCGAAGTCTGTAGGAGGTTTACCCGAACCTGAAGTTACGTTCATCACTGTTGTTCACAGAATTTAACTTATCATCATAAGAACATCAATCTAATCTCCAATGGAAGTAAAACATGGTGAAGCACATCTATGCCACCTACGATAGGCGACATTATAACCAATCTCTCATGGGAACAATTAGTAGAAGTACCTTGGAGCAGCTGCTGCATTGGAGGACTGAGCAAGCATGGGAATGCCCAATTTGCAATGACATCAATTGTGATAACATAATATACCATAACAATCTCAAGTGCTCATCAGTCTAGCTGAAGCACCTCATTTCGACCACAGCATCAGCCAACTACTTGTCTATTCAAGTATTTTAAAATGACAAATGTCATTCATGATTGATAGTATAATAAATCAATGTTTCAAGTTTTAAACTAGATTATTTGTTAAATTCCAAATGTATCTGTTCTTACATGTTTTACTAAACTGTTTTGATAGGTTTTATATGATGGGGCTTAACTTTCCATTTTTTACCAGGAGGAGGTTGTTGGTAGTTGTCATCTGCCATGTCTAACAATTCACACACATAAAAGTAATCTAAGCATCTTAAACTCCTTTCCTTCTCCTGTGGGTACCAAGTGCAGCTACTATTCATTTATACTATGAGTCAAATACAGCCGTTTTCTTGGATATCCAGGACTGTGTTTGGTATCAAAATTGCCCCTAGTACCATTTCTCACGTGGAGATGGAGTGTTGGGATTAAAACTCACACTCATCACAAAAGCATCTATCCATGAGGAACCTGTGTCATCGACCTGGAAGATTAAACTAGTTCTAAATTTAAATTTATTCCAACGTCAAAATCATTACTGCTGTATGGAGTTCAAACACAGAGAACTAAAACAATTACTAATTAACAACAAACATTCATTAACTGGTACGTGTATAGAAAAAGGTTTGATAGAATAACCTTTTGGAGAGAACTAAACAAATGTTGGTGAGTTAAGAAGTGAAAAAACGAAAGCTAGAAATGGATAGGACACACACTGAGAAAATAATACTGAGAACAGTATAACTAGAATGCCTTTACACTTAAACTCACAGGGGCACAGAAATAAGGGTAGACTGGTAGACCAAAAACACATCAGAAGAGAGCTCGAGAGTCAAGTTAACAAGAAAGAGAGGACATGTGGTGACCTGCGTGCAATAGTAAATGATAGGGCAATTTGGCCTGAGCTGGCTGATGGTCACGTTCCAAAAGGGGAAAGATCCATTAAGGGAAAAGGGGCCTGAAGAAGAAGAAAGTGAATACATTATCTAGAATGTATTCAACTATTTTATTATTTAATTTTTTTCATGCATTATCTGATTAAAAATTGTTTAAAGAAGATAGTTTAGAAAAGAAATTATCAACAGAGAGATCTCATAACTTGCATCACAGGAGGACAGTCTACATTCTCAGAAAAAGTCATCAGAAATAGACAAGTGGAGCATATCAACATCAAAGTTCAACATTGAGATGATAAACTTTACTGCCTAGTGTTTTATCCCATAATTGTTCCTATGTGGGTGCCTGGACTCCATTGTGGAGAAAACAAACAAGAATAGAGGCTCCCCCCCCCCCCCTCCCCCCCAAAGCATGTCAAAGGGGTCAACTAACTGGGGGCTTCCTTGAAAGTCAGAGTGCATATGCCTCAAATGTAATGAACAAACACTGCTTACAAATAATTTAGATCAGTGTATGCAACATTGAAGTTCTGGAACCAGACCAAAATCCAGAAGTAGATGAACAAACAAAACTTTCTACCGGAATTTACAGCAGGTGTGTGCGGAGAAGATCTCATAGGCTTGGTCTCTCTCCACAGAATGGATAGTAAAGCCTGCCGAGAGCATCACAAAAAGGCACTAACAACCTAGCTGCAGCAATGACCCCTAGGGGGTTTCAAAAAAAACTACACCCGTAAACTGAAAAACACAGCCTTGAAACAATCACAATCTTTAGAGCAAGAGGCAAACGGACTGACCAATTGACCATGGAGACCCCCAACATCAAGATAAGTCAGCATCTACACTTTCAGCCTTATATACTGTGGGTGTCAAAGCACCATTGGGTGTATTCAGGATGCTAGGATGTCGATTCTCAAATAACTAACCAGTGGGAAAGTTACTTACTTACTTACTTAGCCGCTCCTCTCCTACCTTGGGGTGTAGAGGTTTGCCAGAGAGATCGCCAGACGTCTCTATCAGCAGTTTTCTTTCTGGCTTTGTTCCATTCCAGTCCTCTGTCAGTTAGGAACTGTCAGATGTTGTCTTCCCAGCGCACCCTGGGTCGTCCTGGAGGTCTGGTTCCCTGGTTCTTAGCCTCCCATACCTGCCATGGTGGCCAATTTTCTCCCATTCTGCATACATGTCCAAACCATCATAACTGTGACTGATCCACTCGGGTTTGTAAGGACTGGGTATCAAGATCTTGACGTATTGTCTGATTGTGGACTTTGTCCCTTCTTGTCACTTGGACCACCTTTCTCAGATATCTCATTTCCGAGGCCTGCAGCTGGCTTCTGTGAGCTGTTGTCATTGCCCATGACTCACACCCATAGGTCAGGACTGGTACATAGGTAGAGCGGTAAACAGCCATTTTCGTCCTTTTGCCAATTTCTCTTTTGCTAAGAAACCCTCGGTTTATGGCCTGGAAGAGTCTCACAGCAGCTGCTTTTCTTGTAGCCAGCTCAGTCTTAATGCCTCCATTTCGGTCTAATACAACTCCAAGGTATTTGAACTGGTTAACCTGCTCCAATGCATACTGTCCCATCAAGATCTGGTGTTTCTTCTCCTCTCTTGAGATCACCATGGTTTTAGTTTTGGAGATACTGATGGTCATCCCTCTCTTTTCAAGCTCTTCCTTCCAGACAAGTAAGTTGGACTGAAGGTGTGCCTCTGATTTAGCTATCAGGGCCACATCGTCTGCAAATGCCAGCTCTGATATACAGATTGGTCTCATCTTCCAGTACCCTACTGAGTACTTCTTTGTCTTCTCCTTACAGGTCTTGATGACATCATCCATCATAAGAATGAAGAGGTAGGGTGAGAGAATATCACCTTGTCTAACACCGCTGGTGGTCTTAAATTCTTCTGACTTTTGGTCTGCTGTTCTTACATAATTTCTGCAGCTTTTGTAGAAACTCTGTATTGCACTGATCAGGGTTGCTGGAATGTTTTTTCCCGCCAAGCAGCCCCAGAGCTTGTTCCAGGGTACTTTGTCAAATGCCTTTTCCAGATCCAAAAAACATAGGTGCATTTCACTCTTATATTCAAGGGTTTTTTCACTCATCTGTCTGTGTGAAGATAAGGTCTTGAGTACTTCGGTTTGATCTGAAGCCGCATTGGGCCTCGTCCAGCTGTGGCTCTACCAGACTTCTAAGTCTCTGCTCGAGAATTCTAGAGTAACTTTTACCAGGAACGCTGAGGAGGGATATGCCTCTGTGGTTTTCACATTGTCTGTTATCACCTTTTTTAAATATAGGTATAATGATGGCAATCTCTCAATCTTTTGGTATAGTTTTACTACACCAGGCTGCCTGCAGAACCTTCAGTAGAAGGCGCTCACCTGCGACACCCATATATTTGACCATCTCTGGTCCAGTGGGAAAGACGGAAGGAAAAAGATAAGGAAGGAGACCAAGAGAGAAGTTTGGCATGTGGCATGGAAGAACACCTTTGTCAGAAATCACCGACAGTATATGAGATAGAAGGATGCAGACAAAGAAGACAAACAATGAAACATGACAAGAAAGGAGACTCCACAATTAAGTCAAATTTATGATTGATATCAATAGTACAAGTGTTTTCTGTTTTCCACTTTACTTTCTATTTCTTGTTGTAAAGATCACTTATGTGTATATGATAATATATTTTGTGTACCGAATAAACAGATTTGCTGAATGTATCCCACTGACAAGTTTACCTTTTCTGAGACTAGTCTGGAAAAAAAAAAAGCATAAACACAATTTAAAATAACTGAAAAGAAAACATAAGATGTTTGATAGCAAGTTCACCTTCAACAGCGAGCTGTTGTTTCTCGCCTTGTGTAAGCATCTCCTCTAACTTTGCTGTTCTCAGTAAGTTGTAACTTAAGGTGTTCTCTGTGCTTGAAAAAATGTCAGCTGTTGCCCAGTAGTCTGCAGCTCGCTGGGAAAAAAATAAATATACATACAACTTGTATACATTCAAAGACACGTACACATAAGATCCCAAATGCTTATTTTGTATTTCATTTCCCTTATTTCACGGACTGATTTTCCCCAATGTACGCAGTTCTAACAATACAATCTTACATTCTGGAGATTTTTCTATGTGAAGGGTGGTTTACTGGTGATTCAGACATCTCTTAGCTTTCTCCACATCACTGCACACTTTTCTGAATGATAAGAATTTCTTTACATCTTGACTAACTGAATTGTGCTTCCTTTTTCTACTGACACATTCAATGGTTGAAATCTGTAGCTAAATGTTTCTGTGGGATGCAGTAGTCAGTCTCAAGCCAACCCCATTTAGTCACCTATTACAACATGTATGGTAGGGTAGTGTTACTTCTCCTTCTGGGTTCGTCCCAACCCTAAACAACAAATGGCTGCAGGTAACAGCTGGCTGGTGCAGCCAATATTGGTGCCCTAATATAACTTCTTACGAGGTGAAATGGGATCTCTGGGATTGCCTTATTGGTATGCCTTCCAGAGTGATTTAGTTTTAGGGTGGAATGGTAAACCTTTAGGCAGTAGCCCAAAGGGCACCATCCAATCGATCAATCTTGGTTCGCCCTTTAAAGCGGGGTGTATGCACACTGTGTTGTAGATTACAGCTAGGCTGAGCTATCTATGCCTTTCGGCCCAACACATTCAATTTTAGCGAACTCCTAACTAATCACATAAAACAACATGGGTGCTAAGAGGAAAATGGACCCCTCCTAAAAATAGGGACCTGGAACCCCATGGGAATCGCACTTTTTTTTTTTTTTTACAGGCTGCTTTTAACACATAGGCAACATACAGATGAGGTTCCAACACTAATTTGGCACACCTCACTAGTTTTTTTGAGCTTGAAGAAAGAAAGGACAGCTCTGCAATCAAGTTCCTATGGAGTTGCTAATTTGATATTGGACAGAGAGAAAATTCTACATAAACCTCACTCAGACTTAAAAAAAACTAGGAATCTGACGACCTGAATACCAATTCAGTGGACTTAAGAATTAAAAGTGCCATAGGCTGAACGTCTTTAGAATAGTCATCTAAATCTTACAAATACATCTGAGAGAATATTAATCTCTGTCTTAGAAACTATTTCTATTATAACATTCATCCATATCTTAAAAAGTTTATCTATCAGAACATTTGGCTATCTTCCGAATAACAGTCCCAAATTATCGAGGCCGAAAATATACTCTAACAGGGCCTCAGTCACGTGTCAATTGCGGACTTCCGGCGACTTAAATTGCACACTTCCGGCGACTACCGCCACCACCAAGAGTATCTCCCATGCCGCTACGCATGGCGTGGATTGGGGCTAAACTAGATAGCTGGGACTCACGAGCAGCAGCTACAGCATCTCCTGCAGCTTCCTTCATTTTATTTGCTCTAACACAGTAAACCTGTTAGAAAATTAATCTACAGCTTACAAAGAAAATTCATGAACTTTTGTCTTAGAAAGTGTACCCATTTATTAGAACAATCATCTATCTTTTATAAAGTGAACCTGTCAGAACATACATTGGTAGATAATTATTCAGAAATGTGAGTTGATTTTTCTTTAAATTTCTATGAGCTCTTACCACATCTTCACAACAATCTTCGATGATGCCAGCATAGAACGGGTGACACCCTTGTTTTTTAAAACCAGCGTTGTCATAATCCTTTCCTTTCAAACCACTACCACCCCCTCCTTTGTGGTGATGTGGTTGTTTCAGCAAGGATGCAGCACTCTGCCACCATTTTGCATCTGTCATTGTGGATAAGACAGCAGAAGTGGTTTTCTTTGTTGATGAGAGAATCTGCTGAGTCTGTTTGATGGCTGCCCGAGCAGAAAAGGGGCTTTCTCTGGAAGCTGGTGAATCTGACTCTTTATCCTCATTCAGAATTTTATTGATCTGCTCATAAAGGATCTGTGGTGATATACAATACTTGGAGTGATTATCACTGAGAGAGAGAGAGAGAGAAACTGAAAGCTATGCAATTTAATTTACATACATCAGTGTTTGTTTGTTGTTGCTTTGTCTTCATAATAAAGAAAAAAGTACAGGACTATATATCTGTCATTAGGTCAAAGTCACTATGCACAATTTTGATGATTTTAACCCAAGTGCATTTTTAAGACTGTTATTTGTCTCTTTACAATATACGAGGAAAGATATAAAACCAAACGAAAAGTAAATTAGCAAGCTTCAAAAATTAATAAAAACACAAACAAAATGTGAACATTGTGGCTATAGAGCCTTCCTCAGTACATACATAAATTACAATAAACATTTACAATATACGAAAGGTAGAGATGGAATTCCTACTCCTAATAGGTCAAAATGAATTATTACTTTTCACATAACTACAAAAATGTGCATCTGATCTCAATGTTCAAGCATGTGAGTGAAGCTGAACCCCTCTAGGACTGCACAGTGAGCGATTAACACCCAGTAGCTCAAAGAGCCACTATTCAGAAGAGAATTTCACAGGTACAATTTCCAGAAACTCTGTTCAACCATATTGGGGCACCTGATGGTAAGAATTGGTGTCCAATAATTTATGTGGAAACATAAAGCTTGTTGTTTTTACTTCCTAGGGCTTTAGTTGTTACCCATCTTAGGCAAAAAAAGTACACACATGAAAAGCAAATGTTATGGAAATATATGAACCTATATATATATATATTGGAACAGCGCATAAATGCATTTGAATATAAATGTTACAGACAGGTTCTAAGAATATCTTGGGTAAAGAAAAGAACAAATGCATCCATACTTCAAGAGCTGAATATTGAAGAGGGTTGGCTAGTAAAGACAATAAAACAAAGAAAATTGAAATATTTTGGTCACTTGAAACGTCATGGAAGTCTAGAGAGAACAATAATGGAGGGATATATGCCTGGGAAGAGAGGAAGAGGAAGGCCAAGGAGAAGATGGGTGCAGGATGTGGCAGATGATCTCCAGATGGGTGTATCAGACGCAGGACATCTTGCTCAGGATAGGAAGATTTTCCGGAGGGTTGTTATGGCAGCGAGGTTCCGCGAGGGACATGCTACTGAATGAATGAATGAATATAAAAACTACTAGCAGACAATAATAGTTACAGTACCTGAGTTTCCAGCAGGCAACGTGCCTGAAGAACTGGTTGTATCATCTCCTTGTTACAGTATGTCAAGGCAAAAGTCAGCAGTTTAGCTCTGCAAGAATACAAAAAGTTTTTTTAAAAACCGATGGTAACCAAAAATGCTCACAAATATCACACAAAGCCACATTTAATATATATTTACTGATTAACCTTAGGCCTTTAGCCCTGCATGGCAGCAAGTCTTGGAGGGAGGCTCTGACAATCAGAGCACTGCAGCTTGATATGTTCCAAATGTATTGGTGTTACCTATTCTTTGGAGTAAACAAGGCAGACACATGGTCTCCACAACAGTGCCCAGGTTTTGTGATATGGAAAGGAGGAACTTTTCCCCTGCCCTTAAATTAAATGCTCACTGCCACGGACTGTGATTCACATATCTCCCTATTGCACAATATAACACTATCACCAAGAAAGATAAAAAAAAAGCCAACAAGATTAACCTGTAAATGCATTGCAAACAAACTTCTTCAGCAATCCGAGCCCTTGAGGTTCATTGCTGTAGATATCACCCGCCTCCAATCATCTCTCTGGTTGGCGCTCTCTTTCCAGTTGGTGACACCAAGTGTTTGCAGGTCTGTCTGGATATTATCTCTTCATCGTCTTCTTAGTCTGCTTCGTGGTCTACTACCATTAATCTCCCTGGTGTATAGAGTTTTTACTTCTCTGTCATCTGACATTCTTTCAACATGTCCCAAACATTTCAGTCTATCAGCTCTTATGATGCCAGTGATCAGTGGTAATTAAAACAGATCCTGAATTTCTTTGTTGCTTCTCATTCTCCATTCACCACTGTTTGCATCTTTGATGGGTCCAAAGATTCGTCGTAAGACTCTGTTTTCGAAAACCTGTAATGAGGCTTCATCTCTTTTAGCTGTGCTTCAAGTTTCAGAGCCATATAACATGACTGGTCTAATCAACATTTTACATATTTTGATCTTAGTGTTGTGAGACACTAAACAAACAAACGCCTACAGAAAATGATGAAAATAACATGAGATGAATTCAAAAGGGGTGAAGAAATAACATAAATCTCTGGGCAACCACAAGTATCAACAATTATAAGACAGAGAAGATGGCAATATATCAGAAAAACCTTGGTAAAGAAGCCAACAGAGACTCACCAAACAGGCACTGAAATGGGAAATAAAGGGATAAGGAGGAGAGGACGCCCAAAAGAAACCTCACAACGAACGCTAATGAGAGAGGCTAGAGCTGCTGAGCTGGATTCCATCCATGATATTGAACTGATGGCACAGAATAGAACAGAATAGAGGAATAGACTAAGAGCCTTATAGAACGTTTAAGGGTACAACAGGACATGAATAAAAGATGCCTTCAGGAGTGAGTACTATAGGGTGGTTCCTTCTCTGTTTTTTTAGGCCAGAGGGTGCTCAATGAGAGATTTATTTAATAACATGCAGGCCATCTTTACTTCCCAGAACATTTCTTAGTACCAATTTTAAGTCGGGCTGATCTGGAAACTTAGACCAACTGTAAAATTCCCACATCGAGTGCAATTCAAAGACATGATCACAGAAAAAGTTGATAAAACATAAATACAAAATATTAGGATAAATGTCATTTAAATTTAGACAAACAACCCAACCGAACAGCTGTGTATCACTGTCCGAGGGGTTGAAGAGAAAGCTGATACAAGCCTTAAGTTTTAAACCTGAGGCCTCAAAGAAATCACATACTTAGCCTCAATTTTTCGGAAGCCTTCTTGTTCAGCAAGCTTACAACAGACATTCCATGCTGGACTATAGCAGAGACTAATAAGGCGCTCGCAACACTGGTAGGCAAATTCATAGTCCAGAGCCTGTGAAAATATTTTGTGTTCTTTAAATCCACTGAATATTTAGGGGGAAACAAACGAAATTACTTAAACATTTATTTATATTTGGCCACTTAGAATCACTAGTGAGTTAGGGAAAAAACACAACAGTAACAATGTAACCAACCATGCATGCCATAAAAGGCAACTAAGGAGGGCATCAAGTTGTACTTAATTACAGAAGAGCTGCAATATTAGCACCTTTATTCTTCTGCCCTTTGTCCTTGAATAACCACAGATCCTCAAACAACTCATGCCATGTCGTCCTATCTTTTGCTATTGCAGGCAGCTCACCACCATGTTCTCCCCATCTTTTTAACTTAACTCCCCAGTTCATTTTTCCATGTGCTTTTTGTTCTGCTTTTACTCCTTTGACTCTGTGAGTTTCAGTGCAAAGATTTTATAGTTATAAGATTTTCTAAAAGTGTGCCCTTTCCAACACCAGTAACTTTTTCTCACCTCCTGATTTACTGGAGTTTGCACCTTTCAACCAACACATTAAACATCTTTCTGGCATTTGCTGACTGGGTAAGTCTACCCTGGCAGGTAATGATGTGAACACAATGAAAGTGAAACATATACTTACAGTCACAGCTGCTTCAGCACACATCTGCAGGATCATTCCTTCCCTTTCATTGTTGTCTTTGCAAGGTATACACAATAAATGGCCAAGCCGTAATAGCTGTTGAGGCATAAATTGGCAACAAAATATATTACACCTCTATAATCAAAACTGTCAGAAATGCCAGCAGGATTCAAGTAAACAAATACTGAAAACTTCTCTTAGAAACAATAAATGGAAATAATTATATCATCAACATCAAGTGCCTGGCTGACTAGCATGGGCAATCATGCCTCTCATCAACTTGTAATATCTGACAGCCTTCATCAACTCATGTACTGACACTCCTCCATGCTATGACAAAAGGCTATTACTAATCTTCTTGCATTGTCTTTCTCTGGATACTTCTCTTTCCAGTGGTCACAAATACTATGGTTTCACTCTTCTCATAAAATGGCTCCCCAAAAAATGATGACTCTCTCCTTCTGATGTTTGTGATAAGCTGTCTACGAGTCCTTGCCTCTTTCAAAACATGAGTTACTCTTTCTGGCTATTAAGAAAATTAAAAGCACTCTTCTGTAAAACCACATCTCTGCAACCTCAAAACACAAATTGGCTAGTTAAAAAATTGTCTAGGATCCACAGCCACATGTTAAAACTGGCTCTGCATAGCATACAAGCATTCTTGTTCTATCCTCCCATGACAGGCATTTATTGTATACGCTGTTCTTAATTTTATAAAATGCAGTTTTACAATTCTATAATCACAGAGATTAGAAATGCTTTTAGGTGTGAAACCAACAAATGTTAGTTTACATAGAAACCAAAAATTCAATAATGAGATCAAGCAAAACACAGATTTATTCCCACTTTTCAATATATTATGCATTTAGTCCTAATGAATGCCTAAATTTTATTTACAAATACTACAGTGAATGAATACGAAAACCAAGCAAAGCATAATTTTATTTTAATTTTTACAGTCTTCATTTTATTAATTTAGAAAATGAGAAATGGCCAAATAAGGAGAAACTAAAAACCAACATGATTATCTGGTACCTACCCTCTGTGTCTGTTTATAGCTGGTAGGTTTAGTGGAGACTGCCTTCATCACCAGTTCAAGTCTATTCTTGCTCAAGCGAACTATAATTTATGACAGAAGCATAGACAGCAATAGTGATTATAAGAGCACACTTCAAAAGTTGTGATATGAATACATAAGCAAAATGTGAATTTAGTGGCATAGCTGGGGGAGTGGGAGCCTAGTTTTGAAAACTGGTGCTTAGTTCACTTAAACAGTAAAAGTGATAAAGTTATCTGAACAATTTGATATTTGTTGAACATTTCTTTTTCTTCTTCTTCGTGTTCACTGGCCATAACTCTGATGGAAAATTCTGGTTGTTCGTCCACTTCTGGACTTTAATCGTGTTCCAGAACCTGAGTGTTGCATCCACACTTGTTTTATTGACTTATTTTTATGCAGATTGGTGATTCCTTGTCTCAGGCAGATGAAAAGAATTAGCTCACTCCCCAGTTAGTTGGCTCTTATGACACAGATATACTTGTTAGAGAGGCAGTGGGCCTATTCTTGTTTTTTCCACAATGGGCCCTAGAATTCACACAGGGAGTTTTTATCACTTTATATGCTTTCTCCTTTAATTTTAACACCTGACTGCACTTTTGTCTTAATTAACAATTTCACAGAATTATTACTGTACCTACTGAGCTATTTTTCAACTTAAAACAGCTAAAACCCTATAGTGTAATGTTTTATTAGTAGATAAATGGGCAGATACGAGACACTTGTATTAAGCAGTTAAACATCATATGATTTATTACTGCTCTATAAACTCATTTAACAAAGGCAATCAGATGGCAACATATTTTCTCTAATGGAAATACTCTAGATAATTAGGCAAATGTTACATAAAATTGAATCAGGCCTTGCTTTCAGACTTTATCAATGGCTGAGTTATATGTTGGACATAAAAACCGGTGCATACTTAATTAACTGCATGTACAACCATTATAAACTCATTATAAATGCCAAATTTATTCCAACTTTAGGTTATCAGTGTCAGATCTGGACATTAACCAAAGCATACGAGAGAAACTAACCATCTGTGAAATGAGACATTTGAGAAACGCTGCAAACAAAACCAGGAGAGATCCTGTGAGAAATTACGAGTTTAGAAGAATTTTTAGAACAACGCCCATCATTAAATTAATTCAGAAACAAAGAAAATAGGTTCAGCGACAACAACAATGAATTTAGCCATTCTGACAGTGAGAGCACTAAAACAGAAACACTGAGAGGCAGAGGGCGACCTGTAAGATTGACAGAGTCACTGATAGCTACAGCCTGAGACTTTACAACATCACAGCATTCCAGATCAAGAGTGTACCGGCTGGGCTATCTATCATCTGTTAAACTATGATGCTTAGTGCCACAAAGCAGACATAGCAGAATAAGATGTTTACTCAATTAGAGAAATACATATGAGAATTATGACCGAGCTGAAGCTCTAGCACTTGTCACTTTAATCACACACCTACAAGTATAATGCACAGTTATGTGGTAGAGAAGTTCTGATAATAACACTGTCTATGACTCTTCAAGGTAAACATAATAATTATCACTAAGTATGGCCATAATGAATGCAACTCAGGGAATTGATATGCATTATTAATACAATGTATTTTTTGCATAAGAGAATAAATGGTATCATAAATTATTTTTAATTATATGCCCGAGAAACCATTCCTGTATTTATTCCCTTTAAACCACGTTTCTTAACAGAACCAGACAGATTTATGGAAAGACAGAGGAAGATGAGAGATTTTGATAGCCTTTGATAAGGCAGGAAAATGGGCTAGCCGATGATACATGTTGTTGGAGATTGCAAAACATGTAGCAAGATCACCCATTCTAGTACACAAGACACTACATACTGAAATTCTATGCTATCCACAAAACTCAGAAAAGAAATTATAAAAAACTTATAAACCTATTTTCGTTAAAATCTTTTGTAGAGAAACATTAATATACTAATAATAATATGAGGTGTTTTGTGCATGTCATTTTAACTTTTAAAATAAAAAAAGCAGCAATAAAAAAAAAATAATACCTTGAAGAGGGAGCACTGGTACACCAAATTCATCCAACAGTGCCAGGGAAGCAATTAAATCCAGCTCCTCCTGTACCGGTTGTGGAGCATCCAAGATCAGGTTTAGACAAGACCTAAAATGTAAATTAAAAAATGCAACATTTTACATTCACAAAAAGATTTGCATGAGATATTTTCTCTCTGTAGTTAAAGGATTAAAGTCATTTTGGGTAAGAGGATCAACATCAAAGAACTGAACTGTTTTATCCCTCTGAGCCCACTTTCCCCAAGGTCAACCGGCAAATGTTTTGCAAAAGGTTCCCATAGAAAATTCATAAGTTTAATTTTCCACAGCAACTGATACAGACTTCAGTGTTTTATTTACACTGCTGATTCTCTACTAACTAAGCAGTATTATTTAAAAATTGTTTGTTCATCGATGACGGAACACTGGTAATATTCAGAGAGACAAAAAAAAACACATTATTTTAACTGAACAGCCCTACTGACAAATATAATAACTTTTCATCCAGAATCTGGCCTCAGAGATAACATTTTGTGTTTTCTTGGATTGTTTTAAAGGCATCAGTTTCTATTATAGTAAGCATATTTATTACGTTCAATATTTGTAAATATTTTCGGTCGGTGTTATTTAAATTTTTCAGCGGAAATTTACCTAAGCCCAAATGTGTTTACTGGTGAAAACAATATGTAATATGCCTATACAAAAAGTTAGTTAACACAAAGGGTTATCTAAAATGTTTTTCAATCAGCATGTCCTTTACAGAACGTCGCTCTCTTCACGGTACGCCTGAAAGTATCCCTTTACCCAGCCAGCTCTCCAGCCCCATGTGCTTTCAATGTCAATGCATCTTCAATGTCTTGTATCCATATTCGCGGTGGTCGACCCCTGCCTCGCCTTCCACAAACTGCACCTTGCATCATCGTCTTTTCCAAGCCACCATGACGTTTGACGTGGCCAAAACACTTCAACTTTTGGGACAGGATGCTGTTTATGAGCCAGTTCTTCTTGATGTTCTACTAGTTCAGAATGTCGATGTTTTTCCTCTTCCTGATCCATGGTATTCTAAGAATAACCACTATTATCAGACAATATGCACACACAGAAATATGAACAAACAAAATTATAAACAGCTTGGAGGCAGCAGATATGTCATTCCTTTGATGTCCCTATGTGGATTCAGGGCCCCATTTTGGGGGTGGGGGTAAAAGGAATAGAGCTACTGCCCCAACAAGGTAACATCAGGAGTTGGCTGAAATCAGATGTGTTGACCCGAAAGGAGCCAATTTTGCAGCATACCTGCAAACCACAACATCATTTGCCAACTGCTCTTTTATGGGCGAGCACTGAAGGGAAAATGACCCTGGCTTCCAGGTCGACCTAGCCTTAAATGGGTACTAGGTAATCTCCTGGGAAGCAAAGGTGGCCATCACGATGTTGACCACATCACCCACTGAGTCTAGAAAAGATAGGTCTAGCCCTATTTGCATAATAAGCCTGAATGCGTGGAAAGGAGTCTGTTACTTGAATTACAGAAGTAGGATCGTTAGACGAGTTTTGTAAATCCACTGACAATCGAGTAACTAACAAATACCAAAAATATACCGATGAAAGTAGAACATTCTATGCAACTTTAAGGAGATCACTGAAAATATACCTTGCAAGATCCATACAGGGATCATTAAGATTTGCAGAAGAATCAAAGTATTCCTTTGCTGAAGATAACACCAGTTCAACAGCCCTGGAATAGGGAACTTTATCAGTGCCTGTTACTTTCGGAAACTGATTTGCTTTGGTTGTCACAGAGCTTCTTTCCAGCATCTGACCTGGAAATGAAATCCATCAGTGAGATACTCAGTTTGCAATTTTTGTTCACCTAAATATACTTTTGCCTCACAATCTTTGTGTTTAGATGAAGAGGGGGATGATGTGGAGCAGGAAGAAGAAGAAAAAGAAGAAGAAAAAGAAGAAGAAGAAGAGGAAGAAGAAGAAGAGGAAGAAGAAGAGGAAGAGGAAGAAGAAGAAGAAGAAGAGGAGGAGGAAGAAGAAGAAGAAGAGGAGGAGGAAGAAGAACGAGGAGAAGAAGAAGAAGAAGTGACATTACCATAACTATTAATATTCTCCAGCAATGATGTCTCTTGTACAGAGAAAATGTCTGGTTTAAACACTTACAGAAAAATGTAACTATGTTTACACATTATTAAACATACAGAAAATGGTGTTTTGCTTTCTAAAGTTTTTGCTGGAGATCCCATTCTAAGTTAAAGGACAAACTGCCTGAGTTCAGCTTTGCTGAACCTCTGAGGTATGAGTTCCTACTCTTTTCGATTTCCAACCGGCAAGGGATTTTTTAAAAATACATTCACAACAATGCAGTCGGGCATCTGATCTCACAACCCAGAGACCAGGGGGAATTACTAGTAGTCCAAGTCCACTGGAAAAAATCCTAGCCCTTACCGGGGATTGATCCCGGAACCTCTAGCGCTCGAGGCAAACATACCTCAAGACCACGTAGCCCCCTCGTTTTACAGAAGAATATACCACCAAGCCCACTAACATATGTAATAATTGATGAGCAAACCAAGTCAGTTAACTGACCACTGCAATATTATGGTAAGTCACGAGTGGAAGTTCTCCATGAACTAAATGCAAATCAAGAAAGACATAGTTCATACAGAAAGACAACTGATCAAACCCATCAGTGTGTGTGCGGGAAAGGGGGGGGGGGAGAGGGTATGTGCGTGCGTGCATGCACGCGCGCGCGAGGGAGAGAGAGAGAGAGAGAGAGAGACAGAGAGCGAGAGAGAGAGAGAGAGAGAGAGAGAGAGAGAGAGAGAGAGAGAGAGAGAGAGAGAGAGAGAGAGAGAGAGAGAGAGAGAGAGAGAGAGAGAGAGAGAGAGAGTTCATGGCTTTTGGTCAAATATGGCAGACAAACAAGGAGGTCCATTTAGCTCTGAAGTTATTTTTGCTTCTATCATCTATTTGTGCCACTGCACTGTTCTTATTATTTGTTGTTACTGGGACTTAACATCCACAAGTTATATATATTATTTTTTTAGTTATGGCCTTTGCCATTCACAGATTTTTGTGGCTAGTATTATTTCATGTGGTCACAAACATGCCAGAGATTCAGCTAGCCAGACAGATGTGTAACTTCTCTTGGAGATACATTAGTTAAGTGATTCTGTGCATTCTCGACCGCATTTGTGGTACTGTATTTTCATATATGTACTGTGCTCAAGGAGGCTCTCTAGCCGCAACGTTCTCTGGTCATTTTGTATTTCCGATAATCTGAAGTTGACTGATTCTACTTTTCATTTGGTTTTATATCTTTTTATGATACTGAAGTAAAATTTAGCAAGCATATGCTAACAAGGAGACTATGGTAGTAAAGGGGCTAGTATGCTTGCATGCCAGCCTGAGGGTCATGTCTTTAAATCCCTCAGGTGAACATTGTACTCCCATTGACCTCAGCTTCCCTGTAAAACTATCTAAAATGGGTACCAGAAACAATGTCCAGGGAAATGAAAATGGCTGGCGTGATACTGATCACATCATTCAAGCATTGGGTTGTAAAAAAAATATAGGTATATCACCACACACTCCATGCTTCAGTGTGTACAAAGTGGTGGTTCATTTATATACCAGCATACCTGCTAAATGAATTGTCTCTTGCCTTCCAGAACACATCAAGCTCTCTACGAATATCTGAAACAAACAATCCACAAACTGTTGACTATCACTGAAAGCAGAAGTTCCCAAATAGTTTAATTCCGTTTCTTCTAGGGGCAAGTGAACTAAGAGGAAGAAATGGTAACATTCGGCATATGCAGTAATATCTAATACCATGAGAAAATGATGATTTTCGATATCAATGCAAATATTTTCATACGTATTTGTGATAAGTCTTGTCCGCAAATCATCATGAAAAAATAAACAATGTTGGAATAACATAAAGCACAGGTAGTCTTCAGTCAAGGCAGGGGTACCAGGGACAATAGCACGAGGAGTTTAGTGAATACAGTTTTTATATTTGTTTCTTCCAGGGCCCCATTTTAGAGGAGGAAAAGGATAGCCTACCAGCCTCTGATGCATACTGTGAAAAGAGACTAATTAGGGGTTTGCTGAATTCAGATGTGCTGGGCCAAATGGCATAGATATCACAGCCTAGCTTAAACCACAGCAAAAGATTACAAGGCTTGAATGTGTTCAATATCTGATATTATCAGCCATCATGAAACATGTGATTTCCCAACAGATCCAATTAATATAAACAATGTATCATAGGGATGTTGAATTGAGAATCGACGTCACAGCATTCAGGACATTCCCATCAGTTCCCCATATCCAACAGTTGTAAGAGTCAATGTTAAAACAGAAAACTGGAGGGACTTACGAGTGGTGGCAGGGTTGTATTCTTTTCACACATATTTTCAACATCTATATATAGAAAGAAAGAAAGAAAGAAAGAAAGAAAGAAAGAAAGAAAGAAAGAAAGAAAGAAAGAAAGAAAGAAAGAAAGAAAGAAAGAAAGAAAGAAAGAAAGAAAGAAAGAAAGAAAGAAAGAAAGAAAGAAAGAAAGAAAGAAAGAAAGAAAAAAGGGAAAAGAAAGTGAAAACTAAGAATTAAAAAATCTGAAAATGCAATAAAGTTTGACTACATAATTAACAACAGAGTCTGTTTAAAGAACTCAGGAGACTGGGAACAGGAATAAGAATAAAGAAGTTTAAACAGCATAAAGACCCTTTGGCATCATAACAGCAGCAAATCATTCATTTGCACTTCAAGTTCAATAGGAAGGATAGGCCAGTTGACTGCGGATGCTGTGAAAAGATGTTTGTTTCTAGCTGCGGTTTGCTGATGCTATTTCCCAATTTCTAGACTAGGATCCAAAGGTTCCGTTGCCTAGCTATTGAGCTGAGTGTTTGAGAGCTGAGAGCTGAGGATTTCATGTAGGACATTTTTTTCTCTGCTGTGCTTGTGAAGGTTTTCTTTTGTGAACTGTACTAAAAAATGTGAGCTGCAATTCTAGTGGGGAACAGTGCTGGCCTGGCACTTCTGTTAGCTGCTTTATGCATTTACTTTGTGTGAGCTTCAAGCTAATTAGTAACCATGGAAATGAGATGTCTGAGAAGGGCTGTAGGAGTGACCATAAGAGATCAGATCAGGAATGAGATCATAAGAGAAAAAGTCGGCACAGAACCAATTTTAAATTACATACAAAGACAGCAATGAAATGGTTTGCCCACTTAGAGAAAATGCCTTGTGACACCATACCATACATAGCATATATGGAAAGAGAAGAAGGACGTAGAGCACGAGGTAGACCAAGAACAAGATGGAAGGATAACATCAGAGAAACTCTACAACAGCACGATGTGCCTATGGTCGAGGTGGCCAGAAGAGCTAGAAACAGAACCTTATATCTCCCTCGACACCCACAGTGGTAAAAGAGGAAGTGAAGAAGAAGAAGAAGAGCTTCAAGCTATTGTTAGGATATCAGATTTTTTAAAGGGACAGTCAAGGACATTTTGTGTGATTTTCACTTGCACAGAAACAGAGCAGTTATTGGGTGACCCATCTGCAATTAAGTTGGAACCTTAACTAATGACTAACTAATAAGCAAACGGTACATGTCGCGACAAGAGACCTAACAATGAGAGTGATCTCCCTTCACATTGATGCCTTGATCTGGTGTAGTGCCTCTACTATGTCACAGGGGTTTCAGGCATAGTGAGTCGTATTTTACTCCTTGTTGTCAGCGGCCGGCGATATCGCGTATGTTACGCTGTGACCACTTTTATCAGTCCCAAAACATGTGCAACTGGGCAAAAAGCCCCCCCCCCCCCAATGTCTCACGGCTGTACACAGCCTCTTTTATAAACTGCATACAGTTGTGCAACCTAGGATGCACCTATGCGACATAGTAGAGGCGCTACACCAGATGGAGGCATCAATGGGAAGGGAGGTCACTTTCATCGTTGGTTCTCTTTACGTGGCTAGAACCCAGCAAACAAATAAAACTATAGATTTTGAAAATAAACAAATGCAGGAGCACCTGGATCTGAAGTATCTTCAGTTTCCCAGTTGTAGCTTTCAGACATTCAATAGATTATCTAAGCAATTATTTCTTAAACTTTAATAGTTATGCCTTCTTCTTCTTCTTATAGTCCATGCTGTGTGGCGTTGGTAGTCATGTGTATCCCATGCCTTCTGTTTTGTGTAATTTCAATTAATTCTGACACAGATGGTTTTCCATGCCATGATGTCTAAATGTTCAGCATCTTCTCTCTTAGTCTCTCTCAGCCTCTTTTCCCCTCCAACTTTCCCCATCATCAGGATGTACTCCAAGTTGCTCCTTCTCTTTGAGAGTTAGTTTCTTTCATGACACTTTCATTACTCTGTTTAAACCTGTCATGGTATTCTCATCAATCATCTATAAAACCACATCTATGCTGCTTTCAAATACCTTATCTTAGTATAAGCTATTTTATGCAATTATTACAACTACTGACTTTTCTCTGTTGTTACTGCAAACATTTCAAGTGATTTACCTCATGGCAGACACTCTGAGCAATGCAGTGGTACACTTTCCTCTGTAATGACATTACATCCTCATGCAGCTTGTGCCACTCCAAGTCACTCAAAGGGAGAGGCCTGTTAGTGATAACAAACACTCAGTAATAGATGTTTCAGTAATGCTGGCAATCTGCCAGTAAATGTGTTCTTACCGGGTAGCATATAATTCTTGAACTACAATAAATTATGATTCTGTGTGTCCCAATATATATTTATATTCAAACATGTATGTATCTGTTTGCGTAAATTACTAAGTATTTACATGTGTGTGATGAGAGAGATGACAGACATTGGAAAACAAGTATGATACACAGAAAGAAACAGACAATAAACAGACAACAGATATTATTTCACGTCTTCATTTATAGACTAATACATGTGTCTCTTATTCTATCAAACACATTAAAAACAAAACTGTCTTATTCTCACACATGCCCTCATAATCATGTATTGTGTTCAATAATTGGAGTTCTATGTAAATTTGTATCTGATATTATTTTATATGACAATGCACCTGACCTTTTACTTGCCAGTCTTGTCAGCTTGACCAACAAACTTCTGGCTTCTTCAGGATTATTCTGAAAGAAGGAGAAATTAATCAAATGTAAAAGCAACAGTAGTTTCTGTGTGGGAATCATCATCACAGCAGAGGGTAACCACCAGATAACAGGGGACAGTAGAGAGGATGACAAATATATTATAACTACTCATACATATTCTCCCACTGAACTCATCATTATACACACCAAAACCTTGAGGAAGTTGAGGGAGGGAGAAGGGTTAGGGGTGTTGCATTTCAAATGACCCTGAGTGCTAAGATGATACCTAGCGAATAAGGCATGAATGACAGAGGTACTTACTGAGATGGATTTGAAGAAACAGGATACAATTGATCATGTTGCACGAAGGGAAACAATAGAATGGGAAACAAGGATAAAGAAGTAGACAGGCTGAGAGATGAGCATCAGAGAAGAAGGTTAGACAGGTATGATAGAGCAACAGTCCTGAAATCACATACTCTAACTGTGGAAGACTTTTTTTAACATGAGTGGGTCTCACTAGTCACACCCACCATTGGCTAGGATTGTCATGCCTTCCTGTAGCATAATATATCACTATCATTTAGAAAGGTGTCACAGCCTGTAGCTATTGACAGGGTCTACCATAGTGGACAGACTGACCAGACAAGGAAAGGGGCCAGACAAAGACAGCTACAACTGTTCTGTACATGGACTGGGTACATTCCAAGTCAAGGCAATGCAGACTCAAAAGAAATGCTCTTTGAAACCACAGGCATCAGATCACAGACAGTGCTAAACAACTTGCTTTATGAAGAATCTTAACTGGATCATCTTCAGTTTTTAATTGAGAAGTATTTTAAAATAAGTTCAGTAGCACCACTATAATGCAACATACATTGCTGCAAACATTGAAAGAACAATGAGGGAAAAAAAGACATTTTTTTAACTGTAGAAGCAAAGCTTAAGGCTGAAATTACCTCAAACTGTAATTACTTTATTTGAAGCTTATATAAGAGGAAGCCAATACTGAGCAACACTCAACACTGAACACAAGTTATACCACAAAAACCAGGTCCTAATAACATTAAAGCCAGAAGTGATGAACACAAGTTATACTCCAAAACAAAAACAAGTCTAAATAAGATTTAAGCCACAAGTGAAACACAACAATCTCTCAAGAAGAAGCCATTCTTTAGATAGAAATAAATGTGTATAAACTATCAGTGTTATGACTTTGTTTTGAGACCATATATGCATATATATATATCAGCTTCTCATTTTAGACAATTAATTAGAATTTCTATGCTATAAAGTAAACTCTTAGTGAACCTATTTTTCCCCTAATAACCTTCTTGCCCACAGACTGAAACTGAACTCTTACATTCACAATCCTCCACCATGCTAACATATCAGTTACTGGCTGGGGCTAACCACATTTGACTGGTATTGAGTCTCAAACTGTAGTGAGATTTACTTTCAAATCAAACCAATTCTGTAGCAACTAAATATTTATCTAAGGAGTCCAGGGCTGGTCATTCAAGTTATGATTCTTTGATGTAATGTATGTAAAGGCTTACCATGCCATATCAAATTTACACAGATGCCAGAGCTTACAAGATGGGAGATAGTATTCATACATTTAAACAACCTCATTCAATATGTGCAGATATTATTTAAAACTGACTGAGATCAAACCGCCCTCCCTCTTTTCCCCCTTCCACACATACCCCACCCATTGAGAGAGAGGGAGAGAGAGAGAGATAGACAGATAAATAGATAGATAGATAGATAGATAGACAGACAGACAGACAGACAGACAGACAGACAGACAGACAGACAGACAGACAGACAGACAGACAGACAGACAGACAGACAGATATAGAGAGAGAGAGAGAGAGAGAGAGAGAGAGAGAGAGAGAGAGAGAGAGAGAGAGAGAGAGAGAGAGAATGTTATTCAGTCAAATATCTATGTCTGATTCACATTACAGAAAAAGAATGCACTTAGATGTTAAATATTTTAAACAGGTTAAACATTACATAACAGTTTTCTTTCAGCATTACCCCAGACTCTTTGATGCTTGCTAATGTTTTGTTTATACCATGGCCTTGTAAAATCTTTGCAGCACTGGTGATATAAATTTAAAAAAACCAGATGAAAAAATGATAAATATAGTTAGTTTTGTAGCTTCCATTATTAAACACATGTAGAATATCACTAAAATTATCACTTGAAATTTTGTATCATAAGAAAATTGTAAAATGTGATTGCAGGCACTTCTGTGTTACTGTGGCACCCCTGAAACTAGAATCAATCACTCACCAGCTTTCCCACCTCAGGCACTTTCCTGCCAAAGGTGTCTCTTATGGCTTGTGCCTACCATTGTGCTGGTCTGCCCCTGCCCCTCTTATCCTTCTGCTACTGTTCTTTCCAATCCACAACCGTTTTGTTTGACTAATATTATTTCGGTTTCCATGACAAGATGCTGTTTACGAACCCATGTTTCTTGATGTTCAAATCTTTTAGAATGTAAATATTTCTTTTTCCTTGTTCCATTTATTCTCTAATGATTGCAAGACAGCCCACAACTTATTTCAGTATGTTGCTACAGGAAAGATTCCTGCTCTCAAAATTATGACTTGCTTGCTTGCTGGTGCTTAGCCATAGACTTTTAACATCTTTTAATATAAATATTGCATGAAAGTGTAATTATTCTACCTTATGTGCTGTTCCAGACGATCAATTTGTTTGTGTAGCCTCATGCTCTCTTGCGATTCTTTGCTATCAATGAAGGATGAAAACATTTGTCACAATACATGTAATTTTCATCAAATTTTCCAAGCACTAAATTTATAGTTACAACATATATAAATCAGACTTTCATTTCTTCAGAGTCTTTGATGTAACAATATGTTATTCTAGAAAAACACAAGCAATGCTCAATAATCAATATAAGGTTAGTTGCGTATCCTTTACAGGACATTGTGTGGTTTTTCTAGACAAATTTATGACCAGTAGTTTGCCATTGCTTTCTGGACGGTCGGCTTTCTTGATACCACTGTTGAAACCAACGCAAGGCACATGGCTGGCAGCTGGGATCGAACCCGGCATTACGAAGCGTTCACACTGACTTAGCCACAGAGCCGACAATCAATATAAGTTGAGCTAAAGTTACAAAATTACAGTGTAACAATATTAAAATATGATATAACAATATTGCAACATAGTGTAACAACATTACATGATACATTGTAACAATATTACAATACACAGTGTAACCATATCACATTATAGTGTGACAATATTACAATGCACAGTTACAAATATTATGTTATACAGTGTAATAATATTATAGTATGGTGTAACAATATTACATTAACAATATTATTTGAGTCCTGCAAACCCTTAATAAGGTCACCTCGGAAAACAGGCCTGTTAAGGGGATAAACAAATTCAAATGCATCTGCCACTTACTGACGACTCGGTGTTGGCAGACATTCAAAGATTTTGATGGCCAGATCCAGCTGATCACTTCTGCAGAACAAAATTATTAAAAAGAACAATTGTAATGTTCCTACTTTAGAATGCAATTTTCAAAAATCTTAATAATAATAATGTAAAATCAAATGAGTAAACACAGGCAATTTAAAAAAAAGAAGGAATGAACTGAAAGGAGAGATATGCTTATTCATACAGTCAGATGGTAATATGCAGTTGTAAGTAATCACACAAACAAAACTACTTGTGGGTAAGCTAAGAGTTTAAAAAAAAACCCAGATTGGTAGTTTTTTTTTTTTTAAAGCAGAGTTGTAACTTTTAAATGTGATGAATTAACATTCAAGCAGTTAGAAACACAAAAAAGACTAGCTTCTATCAGAGTGATGCTGATTAGAGATTTTCCTATTAAGTAAAAAAGTATCATCATTACAGAAATGTACACCGGTCCTGTTTTTCTTCTCTGGAAATTCAAAAACCGGAAGGCTGTGTGAAGACAGTCCTCATACTTAGCACCTGTGAAGAGACTACTAGTATGTAAGCAAGTCGTGATTCAACACAGCACACAAAGACTAGTGCAGTCTTTTCAGTTTGGTGGTATGTGAAACAAATGTAAGGGGTCCATGATATCCTTAACACATAGTCTCTCATCTCAAAAATGTTTATTTTTTCATTCCAATTTTTATAATTATAATAAGTTTTTCAGTATAATTATTAAAAAAAACATGGGTTCAGTGACAGACTTTGGAGCAGGGCTATTCAACTAAGTTTACTCAGGGGTCAAAACTTTGAAACTGGAATCAACACGGATAGGAGGCCCGAGCTCAAGCATAGAAAGATTAATACAACATAACTAGCAATGATCCGTAGGCCACTTACTAGGTCTGCCAGTTGAATAGCCCTGCCTTCGAGAATAAGAATGGTCCAAAGACCATAGATAACTGGGAACCACTGTGCTAGTGAGATCAGACATTAGCCTCAGTTTCCTCAAACAAGTTTTTGAGTATTTCATCATCAACAGACTTAAACCCAATGTCCAGATTCTCTAAGTAATGACTGTAAATGGTCCATCATGTAATATAAAATCATCATCATACAAGAGAAATAACATAGGTGAACAGGTTGTTAAAGGTGAGAGGTATCAAAGCCATTACAAAAGCACAAAATAAAGAATTAATTAAAGCAATAAGTAAGCAGAAATAGGAATCATTAACAATCATATTAAACACAGAGAAAAAGTAAGAACCTACCTTTCACAAGAATAAAGACTGTCCAACACAAGTGTCATGAGTTCTGTTTCAGAGTGTATCACAGGTGATGGCACCTACAATAATGATGTGATGAAAACACAGGTATGAGAGCAAAATACAGGTGTGACAGCATGCAGAGTTTATGGAAACTTGAAATCTGTTTAAAGCTATGAGGATCCATTCACTGCAGTGGATGGGGTCTCCTATAACTTGACCTCTCTCTCTCTCTCTCTCTCTCTCTCTCTCTCTCTCTCTCTCTCTCTCTCTCTCTCTCTCTCTCTCTCTCTCTGTGCACAGTCACTGGCTGCCTATCTATAGCAGTGTACTAAGCACTAACTCTGTAGCCCCAATGATGAACCAAATGCCAGAGTATCTTTAAAACAAAACAAAAACTCACTTAATTTAACAGGAAGCCAATTAGCATACCCAAAACTGACAGAAAACAAAGCAATGGCTTAACCACATCTCCAGCAAGACCATTATTTATAGAGGTAAGTAAAGTAAAGATCCCTTTTCACGCCTTTAGGCGCATCAGGCATATGGGAAGAGCGTCCCATATTTTTACAGACCAATCGGCAATCGATAGGTAATGTGGTCAGCATTACGACGATTTATAGAGGTAGGTAAGCATGCAGAATGCAGAGACAACCTGAACAACAACCTGAAAGAAAACTCCACCAAACATTTATCAGATACTTACGTTTGGCTTGGACGTTTCAAATATTTTCAGCACAAGAGTAAGGTAATTTCTGGCTTTTGTCAGTATAAAGTCTCGCAGCAGTCGGCTGTATGCCATTGGCTCCTTCTGTTCACAGCGCTGCAGAAAGGGGACCATCCAACGCCGCAGGTTCTTGGTATACATTTCTTCAGAAGACTGGAAATTGCAACAAAATGAATGTTTCAAACATATAATAGGCCATATTTAAAGTGTCTGATACTTTCCAAATATACATGTACAGATTCACAGACATTTATTTACAGAAATGGGATGTTTCCTACATAGAGATATTCAAACACAGATGAATTTAGGAAGAAAAGAGGGAAAGACAAAGAAATAGATGAGTCAGAGAGTCATGAAAACACAAGAAAGAGGAAAACAAATGAACGAATGAACTTTATTTCTAAAGGGTTACAAATTGAGCATGCAAGGCCAAGCCCGTCTTACCCTGGTCCTTTCAAACACTCATCTTTCACACATCAAATGTATATTATTAATAAAACATGTTAGGTTCATATAACAATTTGAATTAAGTGAATATCAAGGGGAAAACACAAAAGCATGGATGGTAATGCATGTGCACACGCCCACCCACACATTCACAGACATACATAAATATAACCACATTTATACATACATATATACAAGAGAGAGTGAGATGAAGAAGAGCAACTCAGAGAAAGAGAGTGTGTCATGCACACACAACACACAGAATATTGGCCTAAACCAAGCTGGCAGGAGATCTCAGAGTTGGTAGCCCCTAGTTATACAATATCCAGAAATCCTCTGGCTCTCACTAGCCCACCCTCACAGTAGGGTGATAACGTCAACCGAAAATTCCATCGGAACATGAGCGAAGTCTGCTGCTCGAAAATCCTACAATATGACAAACCTTGATTCAAGCTTGTCAACTAAAAGTCCTACTGAATTACTGCGTAGGCACACATTTCCATCCATCAAAATAAAAGGACAAAGAGGACATCACACAAATAAGACTACAACATGTCCCACAAAACCAGCTGGGAGGCCTGATGAAATTGAATGTGTTGGTTGACCGAAAGGCTACACTCAGAGCAAAGGCAAGACTGACATTTAACCAGATTGAGACCAGTACCATCAGTATTGGAACTCTGCCCTAGCTGCTGAAGATGAGGATGGAGCATGCATGGGAATGCCCCAAGTACTGTGATGTTGACTCAACTCAACACAAAAATATCACAGCTAAGCTGTAAACAGCCACAGTGCAATGATGAAGAAGAAGATTTATTTTAAAATCTTTCAACACAACCAGCAGAGCATGTGTAACTTTGTATACTAACTCTGTTAAATATAAAACAAGCAAAAAAGATAGAAAAATTATGTCAAACATCTCTACAAATTTAAAATAAGTGTACAACAAACTGAAATAAAGAAAACTTTAAACTCAATATCATCAGAAAAAAATTAACAATTAAGTATTCATAATTCTAGACAAATCATTCTGGTGCAACGATTTCTCATAGTGGATAAAGAAAATATTACTATGATAAAAACAAAACATAAAGGAACTGAAAAATTTTAATTTAAAAGTTATTAGCAGCTGTAATTCTACTGATTCTATTTAATTCTGAACCGTTGTGTGAATAGTTGTTTTAAAACTGGTTAGTTTATCATTTAACAAAAAAATGAGATGCAAAATCCAACCAATCATGAAACAAGTGTACTAGGGGTTTGATGGAGCTGTCTGAGGTCTTATATGTTTCACAGGGAAATGAAAAGGATAAGGAAAAGAAGCTGAGAAGCAGACAATGAAAGAGAAGAAGTCAGAGAAGAAGAAGTCAATTAAGGAGAAGAGGACAATGAAGGAGAGAAGTCAAAGAAGAAAAAGAAGAGGAAAAATAAATCTTTCTTCTAAATACTTCTTCCCATTCAAGCTGGCTAATAAAAATGAAATATTACAAAATACTAAAGTACCTGTGACATTATGTACTCAAGACGATCATAATCTGCCATCTCTTGCAGTGTAGCAAAGGTCAGTGAATCACTAACCCCGCACTCATAAACCATTAAATCCATAACCATGAGATCATCTAACAAATCAGACAAATTCTGTAGAATAACAACATATAGTTCATTACAAATATCAACAGCTACAAAGACATAGAGAAATACCTGCTTAACAACTGAATTGTTTAAATAATCAGAATTCAAGCTAATGACTTAGTCAATCATAAGCTTACATTTTTTTACGTACCAATGAGCATTCTATATGTAATGTGGTTAATACAACACTGGCAGCCTTTACTTCCATGAACATTTTCTGGTATGTATAAAAAATACACTGTTCTGAAGAGTTTCTGAACAAAGGCAGCAAGAGTGACCAGCCAGCATTTTATTTGAGGTGGCTTCAAATGAAAATCTTAAAAGTGTGCTTGAAATTGCAATAACCCTGTCATTGTCCTGTAACCCATCAATATTGTTGTTAAGGATGTAAAGAGTGTTAAGCATGTGACATCATGGCGCAGACAAACATGGTGACATCATAAAGACAGTTTAAAAGATGGCCACCCAATTACTGACTTACACCCAAGAGAAGCAGCATTTTGTAATTCATTATCTCATCAGCGAAAGGGTGAAACCTATTGAAATTCAATGGCAAATGAAGGTCCAGTACCCTGTTGCAAGCCTGTCAGTCCAGCAAGTGTAAGAGTGGAGTGGGAAGTTTCAAAACAGCATAACTTATGTGGTAGTCTGTTCATATCAGACATACTGAGTAGTAACACAACATAAACTTCCTACATCTAGATATGGATGCTCTGTCTGTTCTGCTGCACGGGGGCTGAGTGGTTTTAAGGCATTGGTGTCCGCCTCGAGTGCTAGAGGTTCCGGGTTCAATCCCCAGTAAGGGGTGGGAATTTTTCGCATGGACTTGGACTTCTAGTAATTCTCCTGGTCTCTAGGTAGTGAGATCGGCTCCCGTGTGCATTGTTGCGCCCATAAAAATCCCTTGCAGCTGGAAATTGAAAAGAGTAGCCTAACAGCGCTGCCTGGGCAAAATTTTGTGTTAAATATGTACCCAAAATATTTCAGGATTCTCACCGGTGCTACAGAGCTTGTGCACTGTGCTGAGCTTCTTCGGACTCAAAATTTAGTTAGAAGAAGAACGGAGCACTTATGGGTTACCCGTGTGCCATGATGTTGATCCGTTCTTCAAACCTTCTGCTGCACTCTTTACCTAATCTTAAAAAGCCTTCACCATGCCTGCTTTTTCATAGAGTAGCTCACGGCCCAGACATGTGGCAGTAGTTAATCTATCGGCCTACTAGATGGTGTTAATCAAGAATGATGAAATACTTAAATAAGAATTCATACGATCATAACAAACTATGGTCAGGTTAATTAATAATGAATAATAAATAAGTTGACAAAAAATTCTTATTAAAGTTGGTAATGTCTTACTTCTGCTCCCCTCTCTGTGGCTAATTTGACAAATTCAATGGCATTATCTACAAGTCTGGATTTCTTCTCAATTTCACAAGCTCGTGCAAAATACCACTGCTGTACCAAGTCTTTACTCAATGCTTCAGTCCTGTCAAAGCAGTAGCAAAGTACACATGAACAAATGGCTACAAACAATTGTTTAAAAAGCACAATTAAAAAAAATATATTGAAATCTTAATTAAAATGTCATAATGGAAACTAAATTTTTTCTTTTTTTCTTCTTCAAGTATTTATATTCAGCATTTTTAAATTTTTATTTATTTCTGACTTTGTTCCCTTATCTAGCTTCAGCTTGCCGTTCCAACAAGTTTTAATATGATAACGACTATCAAATATAAGATCTTTCAAAATGTTTGTTGAATGTTCTCTAAACTCAATTGTTTGCATATTTCTTAGCCATAACACTGATTCATGACAGGCTAGATTTTCTTAGAGTGCCCTGGAAGTGAGTGAACAGGGAGGAGGCACAAACAGATCATCACTGCTGAAAGAATGGTGACAGATCATCACTGCTGAAAGAATGGTGACAGATCATCACTGCTGAAAGAATGGTGACAGATCATCACTGCTGAAAGAATGGTGACAGATCATCACTGCTGAAAGAATGGTGCAGCAAGGAGTGATCAGGGGATGGTGTCAATGATCAACACTTAGGGGGACTGCAAGATAGACATACAATCAGACTGCACATCAGCACACATGTCCTGAGTGCTCTGATGTTGGTTTTTAACTCAACACATCTTAGCCATGATTCAGCTTGTGACATTTTTATGATAAGTCTATCTTTTCTAGTTGTCCATTTTTACATCCTGTAAACATATTATTTAGTTAGCTGTATAAAATAAAATTTCAACCCCTGGCCCTTCTTCTGTGGACTAAGATTGTTATTTCTCAACTGCAGTGGTATTTAAATTATACGAGTATTGATTCTTAGATACAATGCTGTTTACGGGCCAATTTTCTTTGATATTCTGATCTTGCAGAATGACAACATTTTTTTTTAAAAATTGATCTATGGTATTCTAAGAATTTGTGTGGGGCATTTTAGTTTGAAAGCTCTATTTTCCTTCTGTGACTTAAATTTCTCCACGGCTTACATCCACATGTTGTCACGCCAGTTGTTTCAGCAAATTCTTTTAGAACTTCTTTGTTGATGTTGTGTCATTGACTTTTAATATAACGACATGTGCATTAGATGCAGTTGGAGGCAACCAGCCAGGTGGCGCGCCATAAAAATCAGGATGCCATGCACAAACACTATTGAAGTTCATACTAGAGATAACATTGCAGATATAGTTAATCTATTTCAAGCAAATAAAAGAAGAAGAAGAAGAAGATGCAATAACTAATTTTACACAACTTGATACACTGAACAATGAAGTATCAAATGTTTCCCACCTTTTTTTTTAAAAACAAAATGTTTACTGATCAGTCGATCATTCATTCACTGCTCAACTCAGAATCACAAATTTCTCAAAACATAAAGAAAGATTCACTCATATATGGATAAGTATTTTCTATAAGGTAATGGTAAATGAAGTTAATGGTATACACTACTATTGGGATGTGAAGTGTTTAATCTTCACTTCTTGAAGACTATGGTACAATAAGGAAGGGTGGTTAATTCACTGTCTTTCCATCCCAGACAATACCCATACAATTCTGAAAATGATCAGGTAACATTCTATGAGGCTGAGTCAATGCCAGAATTGTACTGGCTGGGAAAAAGGAATCGGTTATTCCTTAGTACAGAATGCATTAAAAACTATAAAACAGTGTGCAATATACAGAACAACCATCTTCATTGTGAGAATAGAGACAGAGGACATACTGCAAGTTTAGAATAGTTGTCAGAGACTCAGCTGTTAAAAGTAGTTGGATCTGGCCAATGCTCAACACTCAGGGGAAAGGCAAGAGGGATATACAATTAGACAGTTACTGGTACCATCAGAATTTATACTCTTCGTTTGCTGCTGAAGATGGGGATGGAGCACTAGTCGGGGTGTCCCAAGTGCTGTGATGTCGATTCTTAATTCAACATTTAACAGGTAGTTGTTGTACCTGATTACTATGTCTATGCTTCAGAAAGTGAGCACCAAATGACAGATAAAATAAAGTAGGGTGGCTAATTCCCTAATTCCCTAGATTTACTATTGCGATCAAGCAAGCATACAAATTAATATATGGGCCAATCTGTTAGGGGTGGGCAACAAAGAATAACATAACATTGCCAATAAATAAGTTAGGATAACTAATGTCTGCCCCTAGAAAAGGCACCTAAAGAAGTGGATGACTTCTTAGTAGACAACATAAAGCCACATTTACCTCACCCATAATAAGTCAAGCTAAACCTTTCTACTGGGTTTTTCCCTCACCTAAATTTGATGTCAAACTTTTCATACAGAAACTGTGCTTCATCTTCAGTTCCCAGGTCAATCACTTTTCTGTAAAATCATACATGGTATATAAATATTTTTCTTTTAAAAGTTTATACATAAAAAAAAAAAAAAATCAACTATTTTTACAGTAATATAGGGATTGAAGGAGTCACGGACAACTTGAGACTTCATAACATCACAGCATATGAAGCCCTGGCTCGGTTGCCGATCATCTGATAGACTGCGACGCCTAGCGGCACAGGCAGATTTTGACAAAAGAAGAAGATAGGGATTTACAAAAATGTATCTCTCTCTTTCTGTCATGTATGTGCTCACAGGCATAATATACACATACCCAAATAATGCAACAAGTCGTCCTTATTTTACACTGACAAAAATTTTCGTGGTGTTTAAATGGAGAAACAAAGCATACATGCACTAAAACAGATAACAGAAAAGAATCATTCATTTGTACATAGCCAAACATTTCTATGTCAGAAGAGAAGAAACAAAGAAAAACTACATACAGTAAGTGAAAACTACTCAAATAAAAAAAAAATTTCAGAAAATTATAGCTACAAGAACAAGGTAACATTACAGCTGTCTGTTTCATATGCTTCTACAAAAGGCTGTGTTGGGAAACAGCTGGTTCTGCAAAACTGGGTAGTGACTGGATGCATGAAAAGCTAGGTGTGGGAGCAAGTAATCAAATAGGCAGATAGCCCAGCTGGTTCTGCACCACTGGGTAGTGACTGGATGCATGAAAAGCTAGGTGTGGGAGAATGTAAACAAATAGGCAGATAGCCCAGCTGGTTCTGCACCACTGGGTAGTGACTGGATGCATGAAAAGCTAGGTGTGGGAGCAAGTAATCAAATAGGCAGATAGCCCAGCTGGCTCTGCAAAACTGGGTAGTGACTGGATGCATGAAAAGCTAAGTGTGGGAGCAAGTAATCAAATAGGGAGATAGCCCAGCTGGCTCTGCAAAACTGGGTAGTGACTGGATGCAAGTGAACAATGCTGACAGATCATTACAATGTGAAGAGACTGGTGCAGCAGAGAATGACCAGTGGATTTGGCTAATATTCTACACCCAGAGGAGGGGCAAGACAGACATATACAAAACAAAAAGCGCATAATTTTCACCAGTGGCATCATTATCCTGTACGACAAAGTGGCCCCACACTGCTGCTCACAAAAAGAAAAGTTTATGTAGGAAATTTTCAACCCCCCCACCCCCTTTTCCCTCCATACCCACAGCCTGGACTTGACACTAAGCGATTATCATCTCTTTGGCTAGATGAAAGCTGGCTACCCAACACTTTGACACCTCAGTTGAGCTCATGGATGGAGTCAACAAGGGTTTCAAAAACTCATGCCACAGTATGACAAGTGCCTGAATTAAGGCAGTAACTTTGTGGAAAATAATGCAGTGATGTATGTAACTTCTGTATGTATTTAGATGTAATTGAAAATTGCTAAAAAAATTTACTAGCCATTTGGAGGCTGATTTTGGAATAGCTCTTGTAATATACAAGAAGGAATTAATACAGTGGATAACATCCATAAAAAAATGTAATGAGCAGATATTAGAATTTGACAAACAAGTGGGCATTAAGCACACCTCCACCAAGAAATGTATTAAAAAGAAGATATAAAACAAGAAATGCTTTGTTACACAGAATCTGTAACATCATAGTGTACCTGGTGCCAACAATGGAAAGGGGGAAAAAAGTAACAAAAGTCAATGTAAGAACCAACAAAATCATCATCATCATGTCATGTCCTTATACATCATATAGGACTCAAAGTCTAGTTTTCCTTTTTGTTCTATCTTGTGCAGTTCTTTGAAATCCAGTTCACAAACTTAAACATGGAGAACTACTGATAAGGCAATATACACAGGAAGCTGCTGCACATGCAGTGCAAGAGTCTGTTGAAATTTTATAGAAACCCATTAAGTTTCATGAATACTGACTGCTTGCATAAGCGAGCACATAGCAGTGGAAGAATTTTCAGTTGCCGAATTTACCAACTAAAAACTAAAGCTAAGAATGTAAAACCTACTTGCACACAGGATCCTCAGACCAGTCTGGTTCTCTCCAGGCATCTGCCTCCCAGGGAATTATTTCTCCATCTTCACTGTAAAATTATGAGATTTATAAAATTATAACTTTTACTTTTTGAAAGAATAAAAAAAGATATGTATGTTCAAATGAAAATAACACACAAATTAATTAATGTCTGTAAATTAAAATATAAATCCAAGACTAATATCTTTCATCTTTCACTCTCAGACAGACAAACAACTGCCATTACCACCTATATTTACTACTTCTATGGTGCAGGTAAAAGGGTCTTTGAGCCTGAGGATGTAGGGCTGCATGTCTAGTGCAGTCGCTAGTCTGTGCAAGTTAGGATTTTATTTTGCCCTGACAGAGAAACCCATGATCTTACCAGGGATACAAACCCAGATATCCAGCAGGACAGCCTGGTGTTCTAGCCATTCGGCCAGCCACTCTTCCTCTGAGACATATTTTACCTGAACTCTTTCACTAACAGACAGACATAACTGTATGCTTTTCTTCTTCCTTACTGTTCGTCCAAGTGATATAATTACGGTGTGCCTGTTTACCGCACAGCTGAGATTTCTGCGCCATTTGGCGAACACATCTGACTTATGCCGACTTCTATTTACCAGGTTATTCCAGT